TATAAACTTCTCTTCCATTTAAATAAATTAAATATGTTGGGGGCTGAGTTAAAAAGATACTGAAATAAAATCGTGCGGGTCTCCTACTAGCTATCTTTGCCGGCGTAGATCATTAGTAATGAGTTGATGGTGATCGAGGATAAAAAATGCCTAGTTACTGTACATTCGAGCTTTGGTGACACCATTTTCAATTCTACTACACAGTGAAATTCACTTTAACGAACTCGTTCGTTCCGCAAATTTCTTCCAGAAAAATACTTCGTTATAAGCTATCTTCGTTAAAGTGAGAGTTCGTTAAAGTGAATTTCACTGTGTATAACTAGAAGTATGTCGTGTGGCCGCCCAACGCGACTTTCCGTAATTACTATTACGTTTTAAGGAAAAATACAAACCAAAGGTGGGTTTTTTGATTGATCAATAATATCAACAATGTACTGTTGACAGTTGCAACAATGAATATAAAAATATAATAAAGGGGTCTGCAAAAAAATTCGGACTAATTGACTTGCTCATTTCTACACAACCAGTATTTCAAATATTGCGTGTTATATCATTTCAAAGCTTAAAGCAAGCAGTTTTTATTTATGCATTATTTTGATCAGCATCATTTTCTCACACGATCTTTTTATTATTCTACCAAATTAATTAAAGTTTCTTAAATGTAACTTATATTTAATCTGAATTCGGGGTATGCCTTTCTCACATTTCTTGTTAACAATTCAAAGATTTAAAGTACGAATTATTAGCAAAAAATGCTCAAACTTTTGCATTTTTTCTTGCAGCAAACAATTGTTATGCGTCTTTTTAAAGATATTAAAGAGTTCTCCATGTTCGAATACGTCGCTCAATTCTATAATACCATTCGGCATATACCAAAAGTTATATTTATTGGTTTCTAGTTGAGTTATAGTACATCGAAATACGCCAAGACCCGTTTATACGCAGCGTTGAGTTGGATAATTTGTACGGAAGAACGATGTAAGATCGCGTCGTACATGCTAAAATACTGGAAACAGTAAATAAGGTAAAGTTATACGTTGTTATTATCGAATCCTGCTTACAAATACGAGAATTAATTCATTGCTATACTTGTTTTATTGTCCGTGAATTTTTTTTTAATTGTTTGGTATCACTACAACTGCTATTTTTATTGTCATTATTACCATTAGTCCTTAGTATTAGTATAACGTTTTGGATTATAATAAGTCATCGTTATACTTATCCGATTCCGAACACTTTGATTATTTCCCTAATAATTATTTTATCAACTGCCAAAGCCACATGGCGATTTAGGATCTGAAACCCATATTAATATTCTAATTAGTCTATTTAAAAAAACCCAACTGATTTAGCTTTTACGCTAGACCAACTTCCATATAAAAAACAGTTTCGCATATGTTACGGTTCCATAAGAATTGAGGTCACCACACAATCAACAATCCAACTTTTTTGCCACATGGACTAGTGGGCAAGGAATACGTTTACGATAATTCGCTGACGGGTTGTGTCACGTGGTTGTGATTTTGTGATTAGTATTAGTATTATCATTATTATTATAAATTAGCGTCCGACGTTTTGTCACATTCAGAACGCAAGCCCGCATAACTACATTCGTTTAAAAATGAACATCTTACCTCACAAAAGGTATAAATTTCAGTTATGCCACTCCCAATTCCGTGGGTCAACTTGCCTAATTTTTAGTTTGACAGTTACCATGTGTATAATCTCAAGAATCGTGAAAAAGTACGACGAGACGAAGAGAAAGCACAAGCTGAAGACGAAGCAAAAGCCGAGAGAGCAATAGCTGCAGTAAGTATATGGTGCAGAGAACACGCTATTAGCCAAGAAGAGAAGGAATGATTACAGTGGGAATTAAATCCTTTGCGCGTCCAATACAAAATAATAAGGCTCAATTGATCAGATTATTGTCAAAGAGATGAAAACTTGAATGATAGTTCTTAGAGAAAGGTAACATTGCGGAAACAAGTTATGGCTTCGCAACCAGGCTTCCCGAAATGACTAAGTGCAAGTGATATAATCAGGAAATCAAAATTAATTTGGATACAAATTATAAAATGGATCAATTGTACAAGCTTCAATTAAACAAAAGAACATTCACGTAAACACACTTTTCCTACACTATTCTGTGAATTAGGAACGAGAATACCGTCTGAATCTCCTCCGGCAACGTGCAAAGCAAGAACCAGTTGAAAACACGCAGAATGCAAAAGAGAATTTGGACAGACAAGCGGAAGAAACATCATCGCAGCATGTTAATTTATGGGCAGAATTGGAGGAAAAGGTTGGTGTTTATGTTGTCAAGCATAGATAATGATTGTTTTCAACTTTGAGGGATATTCAATATCCGTGTGCAATAACACGTTACCCAACTTGCCAACTCGTGCCCTTTTAGTCAAATAAAATAACACGCACGAATCCAGAGTATGAATCGGAGAAGAAAGCAAAAGAAGATAAATGGGAAAGAAACGTTACCATGTACTTGGATAATGTTACTAAAAGTTAGTAGATTTTTGCACGTAATTTATTGGAAGAGAGGATGGAATACAAGATGTAGATGAAACTGTGGAGTCAAAAGTCGTATTGGACTAAACGTAGTCTCACTAATACGCGAAAAGGATGCTAAACGTCCTGATGCTTCAATTTATCCAGATCAAAGTCCGTGGTATAATGCAAAATCAACAGATGTGGAAATAGGTCCTTTGGATAAAGACGGAGAAAAACGAAAAGCAAAAACGTAAGAAAATTTGGTATCCGAGTTTCAAATTATACTCAGTTTTAACGGTACTTCTCCTATCAGACTTCGCGACGAAAAAACCAAGACACGTCAAGATCCTCTCTTAACTATCTCAACATCTCTATCCAAGAGACATAAGAAGTCCAAATATTCTTCAATTTCATCACTTCCCTCCTCGTCCAAGCACTCACAATCTTCCCCGTCATCTTCACAACCCTTATCCACTATTGAAAAACTGAGACAAGAACGTCTCGAGCGCGAGAACCAAGAACGTCTTCGCACCGAACGGTTACTATCTCAAATATCGGGACATTCGAAATCGGCGGATCCAGAAGAGAGTGATCTTCCGCGTGGGAAGTATTATTCTCAGTTTAACCCTGAAGCCACTGCTGCTGTGCGAGAGAGGAGAGGGGACAGAAAGGAAAGATACAGTGATAAATATAGAGTTCGAAATGAGGAGAGGAGAGAGGAGAGGAGAGAGAAGAGGACATATACGCCGTATTAGAAAGGTCGCAGTAGATTGGCTTTCTAGTAAGATATAACGCAAGATGAGTATAACGGAGTAGATATTTTATTGAGAAATGAACAATTGAATGGGAAAATGGGAATATTATTGTAGTATACTATTTCTAGTACACTCAAGACTCTAATGCTAATTATAATGCAATCAATACATTTAATACAAGCTACCGCATGAAAGTAAATTATCAAGTATGGTGATATGTGATCATCGTTTCTTCTTTTTCTTTGTAGTTCTTCGTTTTATTTCGTAAGGATCTATTCCTTTGCGGTAGTGCTCCCTCCATCGGAGAATCCATCTTAACAAATTGAAGTAAAAATAATTTATTGTAATTATAACGGAAAAAGAATGAATTGATCGTTGTATAACTTTTGATACATCTCGTGAAAGGAAATAAATGGGGGCCACTCACTTTCGCTCTTTTACCGCCAATCCCATTTTAGTCTTCATTTCGAGGCTAGTTGCGCTGAATAGATGTTCCCAGTCCTATGATCAGATAATCATGATTAAACAGACGACCTCACGCGTCCCATTCTATGAACAAACTCGGCTCCAAAAAAAATTTTTTGCTTGAATCTGTTTAGTCGCTCAAGTCTAAGTATCCACCTACTTGGAACTTATCTGCCGATTCCACACATCCACGTCCGATACGCTCCAGAAAATCCTTTGGTGTTGAAATATTGCCTAATCAAAATCAACTGTTATCGCCTATTAACGGACTAATTCCTCTTGTATCCGTTAGTATTCTCCCATACCTCGGGGAGGTGGAACTTCTTTCCTCTTATCGATCAATGGTAGATCGCTATACCAACGTCTTGGTATATAGTTGTGCGTTGTCGAAAAGAATCGAAACGTTCGGAATTGTAACATGGTAATAGTGCAAATTACCTGATTATGATAATTACCTCCTCGTTATTTGTTGTATTTTGACTTTCTACGGTGAACCTATCACGTGATACATACACGATGGGCGTTTTATTACTACGTGCGTATTTATGAAACGACTTGTGAGCACATGTTCCAATTTAGGATACAAAACGGACATTACGAGAATATCCATCTTCAATATTGGTTTCCCGGTTTATAAAAAGCCAGAAATGAAGGTGGAATTGAAATTTGACGCAACGAAGACGAGAAAGCATATAGTAGACACAGTCCCAATACAGATAATAATGACCTTTTCGATACTGACCATTAGATAGAGAGGGCCAGACGCTTTTGTGCGTGATGGTATGGTTCACTTGACAATGAAACCAACGATAAAGACCAAGGAAATATCTTGTCGCCCATTACAAAGACCAATATGTATATCAAAGATAAATATCTGTTTCGGATAGATCAACAATACTACGCGCCCAACGACGTTTTTTCCAATCTCTTCCCGTTACCGTTTAGTATATTTGAATAATATAATGTGGCTATTAGTGTTGGGCGCTGTGGTTACTCAACTCGATCATGCGGTCATCACATGGAAAAACGGAATTAGGGTTACTGTTGTTACTGTTGTTACCGTTGTTATCACCATCAACTATAGTTTATTGCCCGTCCATACCATTAGATTCGTGTGTATTAAAATGGGAGTCTTTATTACAATAACCCCACCAGGAGCAGGTTACTTGTTGACAAGGCCACTGATTATGCATCATAATAAACTACAGTTAATTCTAGTAATACGGTGATACGCAACACTGGCTAATAAATTGTTCTTTTCAAAATTCTTTTATTGTCCATATTAATATGCAAAAAATATCATGTAATGTTTTCGAAAAATGCATAAGTTCCGTGGGTGAAAAAGAGTCTGTCACCATCACATGATAATCATACTAACCACCTCATCGTTATCATCCCGAGTTTCTATTTCCTTTTTTCATTTTACAAAATTTCATCTGTGGGCGGGTCAGAAATCAACCCTAATTGGTCAAGTTTTCATCGAATATAGTAATACTATTTAGTGGAGATGGTATTATTTTGCAGTATGATTCATCTTTTTACAACCTCGTCTTTTTTTCCTCCCCCTCCCCCAAGAAATAAAATAATAACTAATAGATAATAGATATGCGTCTGATTTTCATCCAACGGCGACTACTTTCCGCACTCCAAATGTTTCTATCTATAAGCACGAACCTAGCTCCACATTCCTATAGTGACCCATCCCCCTCACTTCCCTCGACATACGCGTGTTGTCCAGCTACACCTCGATTCGAACCACTGCTATTCACAACTCAACTGTGCCTTGACAAAAGTATCTTTAATAACACCATATCAACTAGCAATCTGACGACGGACTTTGTTGGCGGTTACAATCGAATAGGAAGGAAGGGAACTTCTCGTAAACGGAAGAAAAGCAAGAACAAAAAACAAAAAACGCCGGACAACCAAAAGAACAAAGAAAATGATAAACCCAGTCTACCCATTACGAACGACGCATCGAAGAATGAAAATCAAGAGTCAAGTGAACGTAGACTAAGGACAAAAGATAGAAAGAATAAGGCACAGCAAAAAGAATTGGTAGACGACACACTTGATGGTGAAGAAGAAGAGTATGTCATGTCTCATTATGACAAACCACTCAAGGACATACCACCACCACTTCCTTCCTCGTCTTATTCTTCGCCGTCTTCACACGCTTCTGATCTGTCGAATCTCAAAGAACGGTTTAATTATGCTTCGCATGTCTGTGCATCGATGATATTAAATACAAATAGGGGAGCTAAATTTGCTCATGCTATTCTCACTGAAAGCAAGGATCAGTATATGCTTAATGAATGTGACTCTGAGAAGTTTGTAGTTGTTGAACTATGCAATGATATTTTGATCGATACGATCGTACTTGCCAATTTTGAGTTTTTCTCGTCAACGTTCAAACATATTAAAATATACGCCAACAATGAACATCCGCCTAGAAAAGAAAGACCATGGCGTTTGTTGGGAGAATATAAAGCTGAGAACACGAGGGAATTACAGGTATGATTAAAGATTCATGGATGAGAGCCAACGTGATTGTATAGCAACTGAATTGGTGTATTTGTGATATGACCCTACTGTAAAGTTAAGATTTACCTTCAATCAAGGCTGCCAACTTTTATTGTTGGGCTATACAATCATAGCAACAGTTTAATGTCGGCTTGATTACGAAACTCATACTTACCATTATGCGAATTGCTATTCACTCGTACTAGGTATTCAAAGTAAAAGATCCCCTCCTTTGGGCCCGTTATATTCGTATAGACTTTGTAAGCCACTATGGTCGTCAATTCTTCTGTCCTGTCAGTCTTTTACGCGTACACGGAGTCACCATGTTTGAAGATTATAAGCGTCAGGAAGAACAGTCCTCAACTCCCCCGCCTTCCGATATAACCGCAAAAATAAATAGAACTGATGATGATGATGATTTTATTGACTATTTAAAAACCGAGGAAGCGACGCTAGAAATGATTGATAAAAAATTGAGTGGCGAGAGTGAGGGGAAAGGCGGCGAAGGAGAAAAAAGCGAAAGACGGAATGGCGGGAATGGGAAAAATGAAGGATCGAGTCCTGGAAATGATCTGGGAAGCGAAGATGATAGAAAAAAGAGCGGTAATGAATTAAGAGGTGAAATTGATAGAGAAACGAATTCGGGTGAACGTAACCTGCACGGAGACGACGACCCAAATCTTTTGCATCCACTCTTTGGCTTTGATTCTCTGTCTACGCTTCAATGTCCTCGATTACATGACGAAAAGGGAATATTTAGCTACCCGCTCTGCAAAATTACAGATGATCCATATTACTTTGTGTCATTCTTCGACAATGCACGAAGAATGATAGATTATCAACATACGTGTTTGAAAGATCAATGTGGGCTCTATGAAGAGAATTGTGGGAACACAAGGTCAACAGGCAATAGCGCTGTGACGACACCATCAGCATCGCCGTCAACACCTTCGCCTTCTTTATCAACGCCCCTATCCTCCTCCTCCCCTTCGAGTCTTCCTCAAATCTCTCCCTCCTCTCATCAACCGCCTTCACAAGAAGTTGCATCCCCTCGCATTCAAAAAGAAGACTCTGATACTCAGAGCGTTTATCAAAAGTTTCTCAAACGTTTCAGTGATCTTGAATTGAATGCGCTCGCGGCAAAGAAATCTATGGAGAGTCAGAGTAAGATGCTGAAAGATGTCTTGAACAAGATACAAACTCAGCAATTTCAGATTTTGGGTTTTATGACCGAATTAAACCACAATGTGACAGGATTGGTGAGTATTAGAGTTGCAACAAATTTAGTGGTTGAAATATGAGTGGAGCAAGTTATGGTAAGTAATGTATACGCGTATTCATCATGTAACTGTTTTCTAGGAATATTCCACGCGTGAAACGAAAGCTGCGTTGGCTCGAGTTGAAAACACTATAAGTGAGCATGCCAGAGAGATAAGGCTGCTATCTAAACAGGTGGAACTTTACGCAGAGGTAAGAACGAGTATGTAGGTAGAACAACACATTCGCGAATCTTATTCACAATGGTGACAAAATTATATTTGAACTGTCCTCCTTTCACGCACTGCTCACATCAACCTTTTTATCATTCATCGCTGATTCTACTTATTGTTTCTGTTTAGATTTCTACGCTGGAATACGTCGTCATCGTTTGGCTCATTATTCTTACACTTGTCATGGTTGCAGTATTATGCAATTACTATATTTCGCAGAAATTTCTCGACACCGTTCATGGCGTGTACCGTATGATAATAAATGCGATGAAAGTGTCAGTAATGAGATGGGAATCATGAAGAGCCCGAGATATTCGTATATCAAAAGGATGCTATAAAGAGTTCAGTAATCAGGTGATGAATACGAAAGACGTGCTGTATTGAGGTAGATATGACGAAGAAGTATAGCAACGGAGAGCGTAGATGAAACGAGGTGAATAGTTATGATGTCATGTGACATCAATTCATATGGAGGGATGAAGATGGACATTGGAACAATGTATTATAGTTTAAATTTTTACATGTACAATAGTTTCTTTCTTACTTACTTTTTTTTTTTTTTGAGAATAATAATATCGCATAAATGGTACATTCTGTTTTCTTGGATTTGTCTTAGCATAAAGATAAGTCTCTCAAAAGGACGTTTAATACTTGCAGCTTCTAATGATAAACCGAGCAATCACAAACGATAGTCATGCTTGACCTTATCATGCTGCAACAGCCGACAAATAAACATTACAATAAAATGTTTTCGCAACTTTAAATCCATGTATGTTATTTTAACATCTGGACATGATGTTAACGTGAATCAGTTTTGTAAAAATAAAATGTCGCGGATGACACACAAAGTATTGAATGGTGGTCCTTATTCCCATTGTTGAAAATAAACCATCGAAAATATTATTATCAAAATAAAATGATTCGTGCTTATGTCAAATTGTAATTCTAGTATGCGAGCTAACCAAAATCTTGTTTTAAATAACCCCCTAATTTTAACAATTACGTGTATATGTTTATATTGAGCATTTATGGAATAAACTTAAACGAAGGCGCGATAAACGTTCTGTACATCAACAAAATCTTAACAACTTGAGAAAGCATTACAAAAAGAATGGAGAAAAAGTTTGCCTGAAACTTATACTAAATTTATAGAAAGCATGCCACATAGAATCAAGGATGGCCCACCAAATATTAAATAAATAAAATTTTTTTAGCTGGCTAAATACTTTTCCGAGGGTAGTGCATGTCACATGTCAGTTTAGAATGGACATATGTCAGATTAGAATCTATGTCCATTCGGAATTATATGTGTCAGATTAGAATCATAAAGACAATCTGACATACAACACACTTATAATTTTTCCAATCATTTTAGAAAGGTACACCATACATGAAGAAAAAATATCGTAAGAAATTGATTGTCGTACACGTCAGTTTATAAATTCGCGTTTATTGGTGCAGTGTGCAACGTATGAGTTAACAACAACTTGTAAATAACTATATAATAACACCAATAATATGTCAAGTTTTATACCGTATTAGTATTTCTTAACGTCTGTTATTTATTCTACTTCTAATTATTCAACTTGGAATCAATATAAAACGCGCAACTTTCTACTTACATACATGTAAGTAAATTAATATTCTCTTCCAAATTTTTCAATCTCAATAAATGTGATCAGAATAAAGAATCCGGTTCTATATCTTAATCCAAATTTATATTGTTGGTTGTATTGTATGTTAACAATAAAGACATTACTGGTGTAGCAGTTTATGCAAAAAATCATAGTTTATTGAGACAAGTAGTTTAGTTTTACAAGATTACTTTATTTTAGACTGGCCAACAGCAATTAGTTTTATAGAAATGTCTTGGAAATGTTAATGTGTAGCTTCTGTTAGGAGATAAACCAAATAATGGCAGAAATAGTGTAATATTATTTAAATGCCTTTTATTGTTTTAATATTTGGTTGTGCATATAATAAATATATCTCTTTGCAGTAGACTTAACGGTACGAGAAGTAAATAGCCTACCGAAATGTAAGTTACATAGTCGATTTGTACCAACGTGCAGAGACGGTAAGTGACGTAATTATAATTAGCTTCCCAATTTGCGAAAACTAAATTTGTCCCGCAAAAACGGGGCCAGTATATTCTGTGGTAATATTTAGCTTTTAATTACATGTGTTCTCAATAAAGAACGCGAAATCCCCTATGCCGTCTGTCAGCAAAACTGTAAAATGGTAATCAATAAAAATTTCATGCATGATAATATTGCCTAATAAGACAAATCGAAATTTGTCCCATTCAGAACATAATAATAATGGTAAACATCACGAACACTAAAAAATCGCTTACCGTGAAGCAGGTCATACGTCAATATAATATGTCGCTTAAAAGTCCCCGTGGTTTCTATAATGGAAAAATCGAATAAAGTACTTCCCACGAAGGATATATGCCATTTACATTTGATGCAATGCAAATACACGTCCAGTGCGACCTATTACTACAATCGAGTTTGCTTGTTATCGTGCTTTAAAAACATGTGATTTTAAGGGGGTATTGCGAATAACGTATTATTATTATCAGAGACTTGTCTGTATGTTTAAAGATCTTTACTCCCTAACACTAATGCACAGTTGGGCATGCATTAAGGAGTATGCATTTAAATTACGTACATGTCATTTGGGTTAGCATTGAGACTCATGCAAACTCCAATGAACATTTGTCTCGTAATCATGGCATACTCTTTTATGGTCGTACAGCATATTCAGTCATTCTTCGATTATAATTAATTCAGACTAGTGTACAAAAAAACGTGCTGGCATAATATTTACGCCATGTTGAGTCCTTAACATTGACGTTATTAAATATGCCTACTTTAATAATACCAAATGAGACTCGATACAACCCAAAAAGGTCGCTATATCATGTCAGTATATCCGAATTAGGTTTACTGTAAATGCCACCATTGTCGTTATATATTAACGTTGTGACATCAATATATTAATATCGGAAACCTTACTTTTTTTATCTGCTGCCTAAATATGAATCTTTTAAACATATCTTGTAGCGTTGACTACGGAAACATTTATCGGACGTGCTGAGTCAATATATGACTTGGTTATCCAATGAGTAGATAAAAACATTATCATCGCCATGTCTTTTAGCAAGAAATTGACTCGCGTATAAAACGCAATACGGTTTTAAAGACTCTAATTTGACCAACATTGTCGGTACCTTGCAGTATCAAGTATCGAAGCCATTCTTGATTGCGCTCGCTTTGCTGGAATGTGTATTTTATCCAATTTTGAAAATCCGTGTCAATTAACTCTGACGCATTATTTGTTTGAATCCGAATATTGTGAGCATACGGTCAACTCTCGTATTTTTGAAAAAAAAAAATATGGCAATAACATTAACCTATTGGGTCAAAATTAACAACATATCGCGGATATGATGAAGTATAGATTTGTGAGCAATAAGTTAATGACTTACATGTGGGTTACGTGGTATAGACAATAGATGACTCCATGACTCGAGATAGCGAGGATCTTCCGTTTCAGATAAGGTTATCTGGTTCATGTGATTATTCTTGGCACCAAGTCAGATGATCCAAGGTCATCTATATATCAATGCGAAAAACTGTCATAATAATAAATTATTAAGAAACGGCCCATAATCATCGCCATGCTGCCTATGGTTTATCTTGTTCGACATGGTAACATAGCCGAGATGAGGAACAGCGTCAGTAATATTATGAATCTTAATTATAATGATTTTTTTTTTCAGGCGAGACCGACTGGACAAAATCGGGCAGGTATACATCGATGATGGAAATCGGATTAAATTCTAAGGGTAAAGAACAAGTGGCACAGTTATCGCGCTTCACATTTGAGAATCCGCGCCAAGGTAATAACAATCGCTTTTTTAAAGGATTCACTAAAGACGTGTGATAACCGATCACTCTTTGTGCTCATTACTCATTGTTCTTCCATTATCTTGCCAGACTGTATTAAAACAAGGAACATTTCAATGATCCTCTTGTCCGAGAGACACTGTGTTCAAGAGACTTACGATATCTTCAAAATTCCTAACAAAGATACAATTCTTACTTATATTGACCCATATATATCGGAATGGAATTTCGGTGATTTCGAGTGTATGACTAGAGATGAGATTCATAACACAACAGCATTCTGGGATATATGGTATATTTTTGTGGAAAACTATGCAAAGATGGGGAGGCCAGGTTGAGTTAAATATGAGTAAACGAAAGATGAGCTGTTGATATATTGAGATGTTTGCGTTATCTCTTGTCGTAGGAAGGAAGGATGTCCCAATGGTGAAACAGTCGAACAAGTAGCTGCACGTTGTGATCATGTCATTGAAAAAATCGTGGCACACCATACAGAGGTTATCAGACAACTTTGCGCAATATAAACCACACAGCTGATCAAGCAATATTTTGTTTCGCTTTATATCAATCATCCCTCCTTACTCTTTTCATCCCATCTTTTCTTCAGCATGTGGATCACAACCCAGCTGTTCCGGGAGGCGATGTTCTACTAATAGCTCACGAGCATTCACTTCGTGTATTAGCTGCCAGGTGGGTGGGTCTACCACCCGAACACGCAAAGAGTTTCGAACTTGATACTTCGGTGAGTGTTATTTTAAGTCTTTTTGTTTTCACGTTCAACATATGGGGTTGTAGGCTTGACATGGTAAGACTTACGATTATGTGCTCCATTACCCCTTGCCTCATGAATAAAGAGCATAAGCGTTCTAGGTTACAATCGATCAATGCGAGTGCCAGTAATTAAAGCTTGGAATGTCAGAAGTCAATTCTTTAATAGAGACCCCATAATGTAATTGGATTGACCCTAGTCGACACAAAATAAAACTTCTAGACGTGATCGCTTATACCCGGTGCTGTATGTACTTAATATTAGCCTCTCTACAGTAATTAAGAAAGAGCTTGGATTGGACTTGCAAAGAATGGTATCTCTGTTTGAGTTGCAGAAGAATCTTGACTTTTTCTTTTGTAAATACAGAGCACTGTCGCGATGAGAATATCAACATGACACTCGATTGATAAATTGGTCAATCAACTGTAGAACCCACCAGGTGAAAACACCAAGACATCAATTATCACAACAGAATTCTCGCTCCTCTTCAAACATCATTGGTATAACATAATTTACTTAAAATTCTTCGGACCCTAATTACGTAGCAAGTTTGCAAAATCTATGCCTCAGAACCTCTTCAATTGTGAAATACGTTCTTTTTGTTCGTAATGTCTTGCTATAATAGTTTACACGAAGCAGGATTAAAAGTTATCTATGTCCATAAACACATATCTTCTATGTCTTTTTGCCTTTTCCTTTCTTTCTCTTCACATCATACTTTTTCTCCAGGCTTTCAATTAAATCGTTCATCCTCTTTTTTCCTCTCATCATCATAATCTCTTTTAACTTCTCCTCGCCGTCATCATTTCCCAACAATTTCCGATCCAAACCCAGCTCCTCTGCCATCTTCTCTGCCTCTTTAGCTTCTTTCTCTGCAGCCTTTTTTCTCCGTTTGCTCGCAGCGGCAGTAGTGGTGGTAGTAAATTTCTTATGAAGAGGGATCGTTTTGGATGAGATTTCTGATTGGAGAATAGAAATAAAGCGTGGCTCGTCAGATGTGGATGAGCAAGGAATGTCGGAAAGAATAAGGTTCATGTCGCCCTTGTGTTTTGTATAAGATTCTACGAGGTCTTTGCGTTCTTCTTCGGAGCCTATGAGAACAAAGACGCGAAACAGGATGGAAGATAGTGAATTAGGTAACTTGGACTCATAGCCAAACAGGACACTTGCATTTTAACTTTCAGACACTTTTATTTCTTATTCAAGTTCTTGCCCAATATCCATCTCACTTACCTTGATATGTATTCTTAAATTCTTCAATGGTCTTGGCATTGACAGTGCCTGACCATAATTCCTTAAAATATGCTGTCCAACCTTCTTCATCTAATCCATCAAGCGAATCTAACCCATCGGTTTCTCCTGTCTTATCGTATCTATCTCGTTTCTTCTCGTCACTCAATATCGAATACGCGAACACAATGGACTGAAATTTCTTCGTCGCATCGGCACGAACGTCGGGTGACGAGTTGACGTGTTTGTCGGGATGGTGTTCTAAAGCAAGTTTACGATAGGACTTCTTTATTTCCTCGGAAGAGGCCGTGCGCGATAGATTCAGAACACAGTAGAGGTCGTCATATGAAGAAAGAACGTCTTCCAAGTTTGTGTTTGACATTTGAAGGAGGGCTAGTAAAGGAAAACGCTGCTTGCAATACAAATAAGTTGCACTAGATCAACTGTGGCCGATTATAAGATAGTATACTGTACATACGACGCTAAATTTTCTCTAAAATATACAAGGCACGCGGTAATACCGTACGTGTTTGTATTTTTCAAGTCACCTGCAAGATTACAAAAAAAGTAAGTTCACTCGCACAGAATTGAGTATATCTCAGAGTATGCAACTGATTGTCACTGTATTATAATTTTAGTCCACATACACGATAATGTTAGAATATGTTATGAAAGACTGAATTGCAATATATTAATGCGTAATAGTAACGAATTTAGGCATCAATGCTAGTACTGTATGTTTGGTGTCAACGTATATTAGATTTAGGACGAATTTGGTAGAAGAATACATATTTCTTCCTGAGTGAGGTATTCGATACAGTCGATTCTCGAGTGGTGAACAAATAAATTTTGTTTACTGACAAGACTCTATTCTAATATGACAATCCCCTAATACTAACACATTACTACTAACTTTTAAAACATTAATTATTAAATCCTAAATTTACTAGTTTAAACTTGCGTGTGCCTAATAAAGAACACGAATGCAAATTACAATTAAACAAATTCAAATATTCACTGTCCATCTTTAACCTATAATTATTTGTGCCGACGCCGAAAAGCAGAAACCCCCATTCGTAATAGAGTTACTGTAGTGTATACTGTATACTATTAATCCTGAAACAATAATTAGAAAGTACCTTCTCCATATCTCTTAGCGTAAGCTACTACCTATACGCGCTGACGGCAGCCTATTGTAGTGATGCGGACTTAATTCTGGTGCGTGGGCCAGTGGTTCGCTATGTTGTATGTTGCTTGTTTGGTGGAAATGGTGTTTCTAATCGTTAGTACGAAATCTTGCATTGTTGTGTTGAGACTGTCTATATTTGTGTTGAGGAGGGGGACGACATGGAAGAAGGGGTGGACGAGAAGGAGACGACTCAGTCGTATCTTGATAAAGTGATAATATCGTCGTCGTCGTCACTTTTTTTCTTGTACATAAAGAAAATGGCTGCAATTCTTCAAACCTTCCCATTAAAACCATTGATGTTCTTGCCCTCTGACCAAACTCCTTATACGCATTCCGACTCAATTCCCAATATTGACTTCCTACTTTGCCTTCAATAATATCGAGCAGTTTGGGCTCGGCACAATAATAGTGTCCACAGGATAACACGTCGGTCACATAACAGGAGCGGTGGGTTTTCGAGGTGTCGGCGTTCAGCCTCGCTACGGATTGTTATGGTGCCAGCCATTACGACGAATTCGACAGATTGTGTGATCGACTTAAAATGTATTTATATATTATAGAGGAAGGCACCGACGTTTTCTTGGTTAACCAACACCAAATCAGTTTTGCCAATATCAAAGATATTACTGAGGAGTTTCTTTCCCCTGTGGCGACCTGGCGATGCGCTTATGTTTGTTCACGTCCATTCATTGTTGAGAGAGGTATGGTATATCTTCTTGACCATCCCGCTAAGATAATGACCCAAAGCATACTAGTCAGGTTGCTCGGAACTGGCCTTCCAATAGTCCAGACTTGAACCCAATCGACTAACTGAACGGACAAACTTTCGCTAGTTTTGAACCGTGATTTGCGTATAGCCATCGTTATAAAGATGTTGAAAAGTTCTTTCTTCATGAGACTATTTTTCAAACTGAAATATCGTCGCTGGTGGTTTATCCTCGACAGCAAAAGCGCGCGCTATTTCACTCGTGGTTCTGTCTGTTTATTACAAGTTTGGTGCATCAAAACAAATGTGATAACAGAAGGAATAGATAATCTCGCTTCAGCAGTAATCAAAAAAGGTGTTACGACAATGAATTTATTTCTTGGGTTTGTACTACGTTGGATTTTTCCATTTTCTGAGGCTTTAATTAAATAATTAATCATCTCTCATTCCCTCGAGCGAACGAACTGAAACAGATTATGTGCAAAAGACCCTTAACGTTCGTCTTAGGTCCGCAGCCAATAAGGAACATACTATCCTAATACAAAACGAGGGGGACCTGGGAGGGTTAATACTAGTTTACAATGAACACGCAACTTGCTCGAGTCGGAATGCTGGTTACCGACTTTGATGAAACAGTCACACTCGAAGACACAACTTGTGAAATAGCTAAACTCGCTTATAATAAAAGAGCCCGAAAAAACATTTGTCCCATGACCATAGTAGAGAAGGTAAAACGATAATAAATAGAGCAAGAGAGCTGTTGAAAGTAGGATAAGTAAAGTTCAACGGTTTGCCCTCACACACTCTAGTCCCTATTAACTCACAGCAACTCCAACAAATTCAAACCTCAAACGACTACCCATATCCTTGTCCGCCACTTTGGTCTTATTTTGTAAATCTTTATCTTAAAGAACGCGCTGATTTCATATTCAAATGGCGTCAAAATAATCCTCACTACACGCTGAGTGATTTCTACTCGCTTCTTTCGTCTCTCTCCCTTGTCGAAAACAATTCTCTTGACCGCGTCGAATCCTACCATTGCCTTACTGGCATTTGTGCATCTGAGCTTTATTCATGTGGGAAATGTATTCCCAAACGTCCAGGCGTGGTCGAATGCATACGTTCTTTTGTTCAAAAGGATAATCGAAGCGTATATGTATTGAGTACTAACTGGTCGACCGACCTGATACTGGGCGCGTTGAGTGATGTAGGTGTGGAAAAGGGTATAATCATGTCTAATGATTTGGACTTTGATTTGGAGGGTGAATACGCGACTGGGAAGATTACGAGAAAAGTGGTGACGGGTACGGACAAGCTGAAATTGTTTAAAAAATTGGATATATCCAAAGGAATGTTGACTGTCTACGTTGGCGATTCTGATACTGATCTTCCATGTCTATGTGAGTATGAGGTGTAAAAAAGCATAACTAGTGATTGTGAAGCAGTACATGTTGCACATTTAATCATTCCCAATCTAACTCACCACAGTGGCAGCTGATGTGGGTATCGTGATGGGAAACAACTACTCTCTAAAGAAGAATTGTGAAAGGCTTGGAATTGAGCTTGTCAATGGTTTGAGCCGTGTGACTGCAGCTACGAACGATAAAAGAGAACTATATAGAGTGAAAGATTGGTTCGAAATAAAGGAGAGCGGATTATTGAGATAGAAATCTGCGTGCCCAGCAAACTATACATTGCCAATCATATATCTTCTCTTGCTTTCCATTTTCTGTGTGCCATATGATAATAAGTGTTTATATACTGCGGATAAAATTCATAATACAGATTCTACGTCATACATACAAATAATGCAAACTCGAGACAAGTTAACACTTCGATCACGGAAGAAAAAACTTATTCTCTAACTCATTATCCTTACTATCAATTAAAAGTTGATACATTCTCCCTTTGCTAAATTGTAAAGTCTTTTTGAATAGAATGTAACGAATACTAGAATAAAGGAGAATAAACATCATGCGAGGTAGAAGATAAAAAAAAAAAGAAGCGGAATCCATCGTCCAATTTAATAGACAATTTCCCAATGTCTTACGTATATATAAAAACAAGAAGTTAATAGTTCGCGGAAGAAAAGAAAGGAAAAAAAAAAGAAAAGAAAAAGTCCATTCACATAAAAGATTTACTCAGCCATCTATGCTGAAATATATCATCAATAAGCTATAGAAACGTTCAATCAAAAGACCGAACAAGTCATCAAGACAGCTCTTCTCTAAGCAATATCACCACAGTCACAGTTTTTGAACGTCCTTGCTGTACCAACAATCTCAATCTTAATTGTCCTCCTCATTATTCTCCCTAACCACGTTCACCATTGTATTCGCAGTCGTGCTTATTCTCTCATTTTCCCCTTCTCTTATTCCTGCATTATTATTCCCACTCCCACTTATGCCAATATTTCCAATGTTCGTGTTAGGGCTAGTACCAGCAATTGCTGGTAAACTAGCGTATGGATTACCAGTGACTGGTCCAGGACTAGTAGGACCAATTAACGGTGCAATGCCATCTTTCCGCATTTCCACTTGACGTTTGTCGTAGAATTCAAAGTCATCAAGAATGGATGTTTTGCTACGATATTCAAAAAATATCTTCAACATTTCGCGGCCAGGTTCCGGATAAAGCTCTTGAGTATCTCGACTATTAGTTACCGGTTTATTCTCGTTGTTGCTGTACAAATTGCGACAAGAGACGAGCAATAGAGATATCGGTTAAGTAAAATGTTAGTTAGACAATCAGAGAAATATGAGAAATGGGGGTTTTAGTATGTTTACACTTACACAACTCGAATATGTCTTAATTGGCCATTAGGAATGTCTTTGACAAATATCCATTTGACCTTGAATACGCCCTTCCATTTGTCCTGTGCCCATACGCTGCTGCTAGTAGTATAATCGACATGTGTAAGCATCTGAGCCATGCCGCAAAAGTGTCCACTGTTACGAAAATATAGTAGATTAGCAAACGCTACCGTTATGCAATCTGTCTTAGAACTGCTTACGCTCTTACCTGGCGTTGACACTGAAAAAAAGATATATTGGCCCTTTGTCGGCACTTTCTCGGAACGCTTTATCTAATCTACGGTTACCAATCTCTGTACTTGCCCATATGTCGTACTGGATGGATGAACTCAACGTCAGAAAACCCTAGCCAGTTTGACGCATTGGGAGTACTCACCCATTAACTCACCTTTAATGATTTGTGGACATCGTCTTCGGTATATGACTTAATGACAAAATACCTCGCCTACAAAAGAACAAATTATTTAGTCACTAGATACTACAATTCACACCGCTGCAATCATCAATATCTTAATTCCCAATGCATCTGACGTTCTACTATTCTTCTAAACTCATAAATATCTAACTCATCCATAAAATTCATACATGTGCAGGCTTGATATTGAATGTCTTCGGATTATATCCTTTAGCGTTAATCCACCCTAGTAACTCCTTCTTGCTACTACTTGCAGGTGGCGGAGGAGGAATACTCAACGGCCCTACAGCACCTTGCGTCATTGCACCTGATGCACCAGATACTGCTGTAGGTGGGCCAAACATGGCCGGTCCAATACCATTACCTGGAGTACCAGCAATTTTAGCCTTTCCAGTCCATGGAGTAGTAGGAGCACTCGTAGGTCGTGCAGCATATGCATTATTAGGAGAGATCGCCGTATTAGGAGAAATGGCAGCAGAAAACGTTCCAGTAACACTGCCAAGCACCTCCGGTGAAGTATTGACTGGCGGTGGCTTTGGCGCCGTTTTCGCTATGGCTGCCCATGAAAGCTTTGTTGGTTGCTTTGGAACATTATTCGATGCTGCTGCCAGTTGCACAGATTGCAACTCATTTCCTGCTACCTTTGACATGTCTGATGAAGCACTGGCAAGTGACATACTGTTCAAAGTGTTTGATAAATCGGTGACATTCACGTCAACTAAAGTAAGGGCTTGATTGTTACCAGCAGTCAAGTCTTGACCAATTAAAATGTTCTGATTGGCAGCCACGCTTGCCAGTGTTGGAGACGTCAAACCAAGGGTTGGATTCAGGACCGGGTTGAGAAATTCTATATGATCTGCATTCAATGGAGGGGACGATAATATTCCAGTTGGGTGGGGTGAAGTAGGGCTGCGATACCCTTCTAATCCTGGAGGAGCAACTAATTTCGGGGTTTGCAAACCACGAATGTCAAGTTTAAGAGGAAAGTCTTTTCTATCTTGATTAGGAATATATTTACTAGGATCACGATGCGTGGCCATGATTTCATCAATATCTGATTTATCGTATAGTGCCATACTGCCTTTGACTTCATTATCATCTACCGCATCTTCACTCATGTCCACTCTGCGACGCTGGGAGCTATCAGAAGCAACAGACGTACTCCATGAAGGAAGACGGAATGTGGAAAGAGACTCCTGATCTGGTAAAGATTGCGGTTGAGATGATTGTGACAAAGGTTGTTGATTCTGTTGTGGATCCTCTTGTTGAGATTGTTGCTTGTCTTGCAATAGCAGTTGAGAGTGCATATGCTGCTGTTGCTGTTGCTGCGTTTGTTGCGCTTGTGTCTGTTGCGCTTGTGCCTGAGCTTGTGCTTGTGCCTGAGCTTGTGCTTGTGCTTGTGCCTGTGCTTGAGCTTGGGCTTGGGCTTGTGCCTGAGCTTGTGCTTGAGCCTGAGCTTGAGCTTGAGCTTGGGCTTGTGCCTGAGCTTGTGCCTGTGCTTGAGCTTGTGCTTGAGCTTGTGCTTGAGCTTGTGCTTGGGCCTGGGCTTGGGCTTGAGCTTGAGCTTGAGCTTGTGCCTGAGCTTGTGCTTGAGCTTGTGCCTGAGCTTGTGCCTGAGCTTGTGCCTGAGCCTGAGCCTGAGCTTGAGCTTGCTGTGCTTGTACTTGGGCCTGAGCTTGGGCCTGAGCTTGTGCCTGAGCCTGAGCTTGTGCTAGTTGCGCTTGTGCTAGTTGTGCTTGTTGCGCTTGTTGCTGCTGTTGTGCTTGTTGCTGCATCTGTTGTAATTGTTGCCGTTGCTGTGCCTGTTGTTGCTGTTTTTGTTGTTGCTGTTGCTGTTGTTGTCGTTGTTGCTGCTGCTGTTGCTGTTGTTGCTGTGCCTGTTGCTGCTGTGCCTGTTGCTGTACTTGTTGTGCCTGCTGTTGCTGCGCCTGTATTTGTTGTTGTCGTGTCTGCTGCTGCGTCTGTTGTTGTTGTAATGCATTCCCAAGTGATCCATATTGATAATGAACATGTTGTGATTGTGGATAATAATTTGTAGGCGATGATGGTGTTATTGAATTTATAGAAGGTGTGGGGTCAAAATAGTCCAGCGGTCCTCCTAAACCGTGTTCGAATTTCATATGGCTTGTTTCATCATGCATAACCGCATTATTTTGAGTATTGTTCGTATTTGGTCTTCTTAAATCAGGTCTATATATGGTATTGTTATATCTTGGAAACTGCTCATGTTGTAATTGAGGGAAATAACCGCTATTATCATTCAATTGATGTGATTGAGCTGGAGAAAATGTCCATGGTCCATTTGGAGAAGTAGATAAAACTACAGAAGCATAATTGTTGAGCTCAGTTTGGGTAGGTAGCGTATTTCCCCTCTTGGGGTAGACAACAGATTCCTACAAATAAAGATTGAAACGATAAATAAAGATGAATGAAAAAGTACAATTGTAATAAAATAGTTATTTTCTTCCTCTGTGGTTAAGTCAAAGCATACGTTTGATGATTCCTCTGGACCTGCTGTCCTAGTCACTTTATCCCAGTCATGATCTGCGCTGCCTTCTGGCAATGTAGAAATGGGACTCTGTACTTCAAAGGCTACAAATGTCAATAAAACGGGTCAAAAAAGAGAAACTAACGATGATAAATATATTCATTGTTCGATAGTTGTTGTCTAATTATTTCAATTATCCATTACCTCCGATTCCCGTAGGAGTTTTTGTAATACGTGGAGGCGGGGATGTAGCAAGAAAAGGATGCCAAGAATTACCACTATATCCATCATCTCCACGACTCTGCGGCATCACTGGGATACTATTACTCCTCGTAAACGATGTATTCACCGTAATTGGCACGTTTGCTGACCCATTACTAAATGGCATGCGAGCACTAAAATCACCGTTTGCGCTGGTAGGCGAGACAATGCCATTATTAACACCGGTGAATCCGGGAGGCATTTTTACTGAAGGTTGCTTAATCATTGCAATAGGAATCTGATTTGAATTATTATTAATGACGTTCGCACTGCCAGCATTGGCAAATCCACTCAACCCGCCATATCCAACATTCATTCCGGCACTTCGCTGTGCCAAACCATCCCCAGCAACTCCAACACCATTCATTGGGTTTCTTGCAATTGTATGAGCATTTGCCCACTCTTTCCCAGTTTGATAATATTGTTGTCCGTTGTTATCTCCGTGAGCATTGAGGGAGCGAGAATCATTAATGCCACTAACAGATGAAAAGTCCATTTGTTTAAGAACTAACCCAAAGTCGGATGGGGCAAAAGTAATAGTTTAGGAAAAGAGATAGTGTCGTCGTTCGTCAGCACTCGTTATTTAGAATTAATGAACGGTAAACTGCGAGTTTCTATATCAAGAGGGGAGAAAAGGTTGAACAGAGAGTGAGTAAAGTTGCCGATTTAGTACTGTTAATTAAAAACCGAGATTAGAAAGTGTTTGTAATGAAAACGTAATACTAATTGAAATAGTTATGGTAATTAAAAATTAACGTTATTGTGATACTGGCGATAAAAGCAAAAAAAAACAACAACAAACGGCTGTCATTACGATAGCTTATAATGCTCTGCAGTGCGTTCTGTATGTTGCCTTTTGTAAACAAAAATCTTGTGGCCAACTGTTTTCCCACCCGGATAACGAAGTAACAGCCTAATTTATTTACTGGAATAGTGGCCGAGTAGGGTCGCAATCGCTTTAAGGCGCTGTTATCAACAGGTAATGTGTGTAACGGATCTAATGAATTTCGGGTTGACTCTGGTTGCTTGTTGCCAACTGCGTATACGATTTGGATCTATATTCTACGTTGAGAAAGATGATGACGAGTCCATTTGTAGCTTTGTATCGTAACCCAGGTGAACACCCCAGCGATAATAATTAGCTGCCGGGTAGTATCAAGTCTTGTTGGTTTTGCTCAGACGGGGCTACGTTCAAGAATGCTGTTTGTCGCCTCTACTCAGGATGTTACTTTGTTATTGGGTGTGAATTCCTATTGAGCCCACGGCAGAGCACTGCTATATTTTCCGATAGCACATGTTTTGATATAGAACTGAGGGAACACTTACGTTCTCTCTGCGCCAAAGGGCGAAGAAACGACGAGAGAAATCAGGATGTGAATTGGTTAAAGATCAGACTGGGTTTTTTTAGTTATCTGTTATGACAGGGATGTGTACAACAAAGCAAGCACTTTGGGGGGGTGTGGATGATGAATCAGTCGGGCAAGTGGATATCGATATGCCATTTAGAGTAATTTATTTTTACAAATTAATAGCGAATTTATTAAATACACTATACTGTTAATAATATTTACCTAGCAAAAATATCCTAATACTGATTGCCTTAGTTTTGTAACGGTTGCAAAAAACGTTGCCACGGTTTGATTTTCTAATTATCCACGTGATGCATTCAAATGCGTTAACATGTGTTTGAAAAAGGCCCTGAATTTCCCGTTTTGTTTAAAGATTTGAACCCTGGATCATTAAGGACAAAAAACACGCCCTCGGCAGTATTTTACCCATGTTACGTATCTATTAACAACTACTTCAATGCTATACCCAAATAGTTAATCTACAAGCTGATTACAGTGTTGACTTGTAGACTTTGGACATTCGCCTTGTCCATTCCATTGCATCGTCTTTTGCGTCCCACAATTCGTACAAATCATGGAATAAACTACTGGTTCGAAATCATAACGTCCAGATAAGAATATTCTTTAACTATTGAAAAAAGCGGTTTCAAACAGTTGCTTGCTATTGCTGATTTTTTAATAATCAATACAAGAGGTAAATGCACACTTGACAACCAGTCTATTTTCAGAATTTAATAATTTTAACCATCACAGTGGTGTACTGTACTTTGATAAATATTGTCAAACTAATATTTTAAACTATGATTCAAAAGTTCAAAACAACAAAGCATGATTAATATATACACGTCTCTCTTTTTGCCATCAGGAAAATTAAGCATGTTTACATAAATTTATTATTTTAGCCAAGATAAAGCTTTAATATTATAAAAATAATATGCACAAGTGTAGATTGTTACAGTATATTAATATATTGACACCATAAATTGTCTACTCAAGATAGGCGGAAGTAGGGTCTGTCGTTATATATATATGTATAGTTTGACCGCAAGTTTTTTGTCGCCACAAAGCATTTTGTAGCATTGCTCTTTGTCTGGCAAATTTCAAATTGCTCTCATTCATGTCATTGGCTAACAACATGAGCTGGCTGATCATTTAATGCTCGCATGTTTAGGAGGAGTCATTAGACAATTTATCAATTATTTGCAACTAGGTTTTGACGGCACCAAGGCATTGTGTTGAGCCTAATTCAAGTCACACTTTTTCTATGTACGATGTTATATCACAATCACTGTATTGTTCCAAACCTCCCACCAAAGCAACATTTCATGACGAACAACGTAATCTGTTATATAATCTGTATATCAAAATCCGCATAAAGTTAGAGACGTTTTAAATTAAACAAGTCTTGCAACAGAGCCTAGCAGTTCTTTTTGCGACAACCCAACACATGCGTTCAAAGTTTGCATTTTCGATAACTTTGCTTCTGTCAATCCAAACCGTATTCCATGGTTAAAGAAGTTTCTTACTCGCTTCTGTTTTTACATTTTGAGCGATAAATTACTCCACGGCAGACAGATACTTGTAAAATCCATAAATAACGGGTTTTGCTCAAAGTAGAGTATGACACATGCAATGATACCAAAATAGTAGCCATTCAAAATAAGGTTATAATTGTGAGTAGAAATGAATACAGTATCATTTACTTGACTCTAATGAAAAAGCCAACTGACTACGTGAGTTGCACCCTCCTTGGTTTCAAACTATTCAAATTGAAAAAGGCAGAAGCGAGATTAGTATTGCTTACTTCTATTCCCTTTTGGCAATGGAAGCGCTGAAATTCTATTTTTGTATCGAAAAAAAAAATCAAATTTATCAAGCCTAGTATTATAATGCAACGTGTTAATATTAAAAACTTGTGTGCAAAACTAGTGGTAGCCTGAGAGAATTTCCCGATAACGCAAAACATTAAAGTTTCGTTTTTATTGTTTGAACATTCAAAATATGTGTTATTTTAATTTGATGTTCTCCGTCATTGTTATAATTGATAAGATTCTCAAACAATAAGAAACGCACGCTAAGTGTTTTTTTGGTTTCTTATATTGGGGCGTGCAAATAAGCCGAGTAAACAGGTTAAATTGTGTCAGTATGTGCAATCGAACATTCCAAGTTGCCGAGTTCAGGTTATTGTGTCATTTTCTCTAACAATAACAATAACAAACTCTAGTCGCTAACAGTCGAACAGCATATGATATATTAATATCTTATACTTTTCATATTACCCTTGCGTATATGACGCATCAACATCGTAAATGCGTATACGCGCACAATAACCCATATCGCATAGTACGTCTGATTGTCTTGCTGCTCTATCATTATATCTTGAATCTAATTAATAAATAAATAAAACATACGTTATTACTATTATTAACATCATTATTACCCGTTTATTTATTTGTTTATACAATTATTATATGTCACATATTTATTATTATTCACATCTAGTATTTAATGACACCAAGAATGTTATTTATTATTATGTACTCAAATTGGGGGACGGAGAGTGTGTAACTGTATCAAATTTCGAGGAAACAAAAAGACTTTGGATATTATCAGTGGTTCAAAGTCACATGCTACCTTAATTTGTGGTGAATGTGTGTATAGTATATTTAGTTATTAGATTATTTACCTCACCCTTACCTCAATACACTTTAGTAATTCCTAGTCAAAGTCATGTGTTGATTGAAATGTTCCATTTGAATTACGTGTATTTTAATTGAGAATTGAGAATAAAGCTTAAGGCAACACGTCTTTCTCGTCATACAGAACGAGTTGCTGCTTTGTCCTTTCACTCTCTTCCATTATCGTTATCCCGACTTGTTTTTGTTAGGTACCCACGCAACAGTTTTCATGGTCAAGCGTTCGGGAGAGCTCGGGGCTACACATATTAGGCTTAACTAGCTCTATAGCAAGTCTGACTTTGCTACATTATTTCGCTTCAAAAAAAAACTGTTCTAGAGTATGAAGCGTGTACCCATATAACCAAGGATGTCGTTGTTAACTGGTTGTTCGAATGCAACAATTAACTTGTATTTATCCGAATTTGGCTCACCCATTATCATAGTCAACATGTTCGAGGAGTGGAAAACGGGTAATTTATGATCTCTACAACCGCCACTAATTTGATATACAATGCGGGCGATAGAAATATTAACTGTTTAAGGTAAGCGTTAATTTATGCAAACGCCACACTATCTTCCTCGTTCGCGAAAACACGTCTTGCAATTTACGTGTAGCTCTAATATGACATTTTGGTCAGGTCATAATGGATGTGCATGCTGTATAGATGTTAATGATAGAGTGGGCATTATTATTATCCATTTTCCAATGAATTGGGAAGCATCTTTATTTGATTGATTATATAAAACAAAACTCTAAAGAGCTGGATTATGACCTTTTATACAGCCTTTTCTTTTCTTCCTACTGCCAGAAGACATGATTTTAAAGTTGTTCTTTAATTATGTATGTGACCGCGCCCTAATCTACTAAAGAATGAAATTATCCAAGGTCAATACTCCATTTCATGTGTACATTTTATCCAAATTATGCTATAAAGTTGGATACATTTGACCAACTGAACATGCCTCGCTGCCTAATTTTCTCCCGTCCTTTTTGTAATCGTATTTTTCTGTTTAGAGCCTGTCATCCTAAAAACTTTGTCTTTTGACTCGATCAAATTTTTGAACTTGAAGCACCGTTTGCAAACATGCATTCATTGTTGCAAACGACTTGTAAAGATGGACGCTTTTGCAAATCATCATAACACTCTATACACTTTGCAAAGCGTGAATATCAATTGAACAACATTTTCGATCGTATGTGGATTACGAAACCTTCTATCTCGAACACTGTCCGTATATTACAATTAAATATATCTATAAAGTTATGGTGAGCCTTTTTACTCCTGATTACCTTGAGACGAAATCAATACATGGAGTGACTGCTTGCAATGTCTAGGACAAAAATAATAATACACGTAATGCTGCAGGATGAATGAAAAGAAAGAGTAACGAAACAGGCATTGAACTTTAAGAGATTGTAAGGTAAAGTCATTCAATCATGTATATTACCTGTAAATGTAATTATATCATACAACACTATTACTACATATTCTATTATCAGCAATAAATTAAATTAACGGCAGAACACATCAATTCGCACACATATCGTCACATAACTCTTCGTCTTTCTCTTTCCCCCCCCCCTTTTTTTTTTTTTTTCAAAACACTTAATCGTCAAACCTGACAAAAATGTCCGTCAAATGCTCCACATCTTTACTATACCCACCAATTACATCCAACACCCTCAGCCCGCCAACCCGTTGTAATCCAGGCGCAAGAGGAAAAAATTCCATGTCAAACTGCACGACTCCATTCGGACTCAACTCTCCCAAATACTTGCTGCTCGCACCTGCCAGTAATACGGCCCCCATTTTATTCTTTACTGCTGTCACAACAATCTTCAATAGCGATGTCGTTCTATTACGTACTTTACACGAAATCGTAAACGGTGACTCTAATCGTATAACATCAGGAACAGATACGACAGAAAGATCAATATCTTCCAGAATCAAGGGTTTCCGCGTGAGTTGACTAGTTTGAAGACGCCCCGTTTCTCCAAAGGAAGAGCGCCAGATTATGTCGAGTTTGCCCAGCGCATTGGTTGTGCGCGCAACGCGGTCGTCAACATCAGATTTGGGATTAAGCATGTAGAGATATTGACGGATGTCTTGCGGGTTGAGATAATTATAGGCGCCGAAAATGCTCTTTTTGCTAATACCGTCCTTACCGGCAGATGTCGAATTACTCGACACAGTTCCCACAACGTTTGTAGTGTCCTTTTGCCCTTCAGTATGTCCACCCACGTTTGATAAAATGTCCTTTGTATCCTCACCCCTAGTTTCGCGGTTCTCACTCTCGCCTTCTTCCACAACATGGTTCAAATCATTATACGTAAAAATATCTCCAGGTTCAAACTTCATTCTCTCCAAATACATGACCCTCTCCGCCACATTGTGAACCTGCACTTCGAGAAACACCTTTCCGTCAGCCATGTTGTTAACCTTTGTCTTGACAGCCAATGGATTCATAACCTGAAATTTGTAATATTTTCTAAACGACTTTTTCTCCTTTTCCTCGGTCACATAGCCGACCGTGCAAACCAGAGTATGCACGCCAAGTTCTTTGATTTCATGTTGAGCTACGAATTCGCTCGCTTTACTTGACTCGAGTGTAGCCAGCGGTTTATCATTAGTGTCGATTAGACAAAAGCGCTGAGCGGAAGTTTGAAGTTCTGCTCGCACTGATACATTATAGGCGTATTGAGTGGAATCATTGTTGATGCATAAATAAAAATCGAATGTTTCGCCCAGATAGATAATACCGAACGAGGATGGTATCGAGAGTAATGAGGATACTCCGAGATCACGCAGAGGTATTTTCTGGGTTGGAGTTGCCTGCTTTGCTATCAATTCAGTGGAAGCGAGAGATTCGAGTGCATTCGATATCATAGAAGAATTCTCGTAATATACTGGATGCGTTTGCCCTAATGTAGGTTTAGATAAACGCATTACTTTGAGTGATAAAATATGTTCGCGTTGTGAATCCTGGGGGTTGGGATAGGCCGTTTGGGCAGACATTGTTGGAACGGGTGGGAAAAATGGAAGAAAAGTTGAAGGTATGTCAAATATTTATGCTTTTTTTTAGGCTGGATTGGTAACAAACAACTTTAAATGTGCAAGATGATCAACATCTGATTTCAAACTTTTTTTTTCTTTTCACTTTGCAATTACAATTACAATCGACAATAGTAGTAGTCTTAATACGAAAGTATGGGTATCCTAGAAAAAATAGCAGAGATCGAGAAGGAAATTTCTCGGACTCAAAAGAATAAAGGTATTTTTGTTTTTTCAAAATCAATGAGAATTTTTAAAAGAGTTGGAAAATTCACAAATATTAATATGCTCCCACTGGCGTTAATAAGCAACCGAGCATCATTTGGGCTTGTTAAAGGCCAAATTAGCACAGTATAGAGTTCAATTACTTGAACCACCAAAAGGGAGCTCTAAGGTACTGGAGGATAAGCACTATTGATTAGGTTAATTCTCTTTTTTTTTTTTTATGGTTTCTTCTACAACTATTAGACATAGTCATGTGAACAAATCTCATGTTCACACTTTATAACGCTTGTTTTTTTTGGGCATCTCTTTTACATTCTTTCCTCTTTTCCTCCCCAATCTCGACTTTTAATTGAAATAGTCGGGCGAAGGTTTCGATGTAATGAAATCAGGGGATGCACGAGTAGTCTTGATTGGCTTTCCATCAGTTGGTAAATCGACACTGTTAAATAAGCTGACGAAAACTCGTTCAGAAGCTGGAGCGTATGAATTTACAACCTTGACCTGTATTCCTGGAAAAATTGAATACAATGGAGCGAACATCCAGTTACTTGATCTTCCGGGGATTATTGAAGGAGCAGCACAAGGTATGGTATTTTGTATTTGAATTTGAGGGTTGGGATGAGAATAATGACATTGTGATGATTCTAAATTTTTGTCTATGAAATAGGGAGGGGACGTGGTCGGCAGGTAGTTGCTGTTGCCAAGACTGCAGATTTGATTGTTATGTTATTGGATGCAACAAAGTCCCATCAACAGAGGTATGTCGTCTGAACATTAATCGATAAACATATGAATTAAACTGTGGATATTAATTTACATATTCTTGTTTAGGGCTCTGTTAGAGAAGGAATTAGAGGCGGTTGGCATAAGGCTGAATAAATCCAAGCCAAACGTGTATTTCAAAGCAAGTATAGACTTTTGCTCCATCACTGTCTATTGTGGCTTTTAAATTATTTGTGCTTGACAACTTTGGACAACTAATCATACTTTCGACTTTTGAATCCGTAGGTCAAGAGAGGTGGTGGAATAAGCTTTGTTTCGACTTTCAGGCTAACTCATTTGACCGAGAAGTTGGTCTATCAAATTCTTCACGGTTATAAAATATTCAATGCTGAAATTTTGGTACGCGAAGACGTTACTGTGGATGAGTTTATTGATGTAATTTTGGGAAACAGAAAGTATGTTAAATGCCTCTATGTAAGTTACGTTTGCCGTTAAAAAGTTGGCTTTAAATTCCCATAAGCGACACGCTTACAACATATTGATTTTGTAGTGTTATAACAAGATCGATTCAATAACTGTAGAAGAATTGGATAAAATTGCACGAGAACCGAACACTGTTGTAATTAGGCATGTAGAGTAAAAATGGCACCAAGACAATTATAACTAGATCATATGACATTAAGACTATTTTCCTATTTAGCTGTGAACTGGATTTAAACCTTCGGCATCTGTTGGATCAGATATGGAAATATCTTGACTTGATACGTATATATACGAAACGAAGAGGAGGTAAATTTTGTGACAACTATTTTTGCCTTACATTACCTTGCTTGCGGATTGCGAATATAACATAGACTTTAAATGCTTGTAGAATTTCCTGATTTAGAAGGCGGTCTCATTATGAGGAATGGTGCGAATGTTGAGCATGTGGTATGTAGTAGTATGCGGATATTTGTTAATGATATACACGCGTATAGAACATCAGAAATATTCACGTTCTTGTATGTCTCGCGCGCTTACTTTGTTATAGTGCCATGCTATTCACAGATCGCTCGCGCATGAGTTTCGTTATGCTCTTGTTTGGGTATGTTTAACATTTAGTGTCAAATCATGATTTGCGATTGTTGTTATTTTCACGGGACTTATTGAGACTGTTCGTTATGGTTTAAAAGGGAAGGTCTGCTAAACATAATCCACAACGCGTTGGATTATCACACGTAATGGAGAACGAAGACGTAATTCAAGGTGATTATACGCACGCATATATATATATATATATATATATATATGATGGATACGTGACAATCGACTGACTCGCTCTAAAATTTCTCACTTTTCATAGTTGTCAAGAAAAAATAAGTCCATGTATAGATAAAAAGATTTCAAAGCTTAATTTATAATATTAAAAAAAAGGTATCTCGTTATATTCATATCTGGGGTGGCGCTCGGTACCGGTACCCCTCAAAGTTAACGAATGATGTGGAACTGCTTATCATGAATAACATATACGTTTGATCTAGACATTTGGCCCAACTTACGCGAATAATTTTCCTTGCTGTCCGTAATGCCATCGCCTTTCGAGTGAATTGAATCGCTGCTCTTTGAACGAGATGATGCACGGGTTGCAGCAGCATAGATCTACATTGTATTCAGTTTCTTTTAATTGAACTTACTCATGTAATTTTAAATTCGGTAGATAAATTTATTTAATGCTACCCGACCGGAAAACTTTATTACATTTAAATTCCTGAAACTCAATCTTTGAAAAAAGCAAACTCCAATAAATGCAATTATGATGCCATAAATCCACCCTCTGAAACAGAATTAACGTTCCCAATTTGACATTTTGCAATCTCAACCCAAAATTATTATACACCGCGAAAAGAAGAATCAACAAAAGAATCGTCTGGACGATATTAATATTGACTTGTCAAAATCAAAACCATGTATTCCCAAGTTGGTATTACAAAATGAACTGCTATTGTCGATATAATGATATCTTTACGACTACTTGTTACAACAAAACACATAACTCGCTCACCGTCAAATTTTAATTGATCAACTTACAAATAAACACAAAAGTTACGTTTCGTCTATGATGCATATCGAATACGTTCTTTTTTTAAAGATCGGAAAACTGCCGTACTTTGCATGGAGACGGGATTTTACCAGACATTAAAATCTGTTCCCTGACACGTTTCTTTCCAACTTTAATATGTAATGCTCTATTCAAATTATCTTATGAACGTATTCGTCATTTGTAAGACAAAAGACAATAAAAATGCTGGATATAGTACAATACTGGAATAAAATAAGAAATCATATACATTCTGAGATTGTCCTTCAACAAATGCTGTCAAGCTTGCAATGGATAATATCAGTTTCATAATATTCCATGTTTCGTAATAAGGGAAAATCATTCTCGCTTCAAAAGTCGGGTCATCCAAGAAGTCATGTCTTCATACGAAAAAGCCTGTCAAAATAGAAATTGTTAATAACAAATACTAAAAATTAAGAAAAATAGTAACAGCAGATTCCCACGCTCGTGTTCACTTACCAATTCGTCAAGAGCATCCACGACCCACTCGTTCAACGCAAACGCCCATGCCATTCCCAGAATCGCTATCACCAATATAAACAATATCAGCTTCTTGCCGACTCTTTTCTTTTCGACTTGTTTGGTCTTGGCTTCCTCCTTTGTGATCGCATCTTGATTGCCGAACGTGTAATCGACATCACGGAATTCCAATTCTGACGTTAGATCTGGGTCTCCTACGTTCCGAACTACCGGATACCTTTGATTCACATGAGAAAAAGTGGGCGGCGACGAAGAGCTCGACGTTCCCGTCGCTAGATCAGTCTTGCTTAAAGACCTATCGTTATCAGTCGTATCATCCTTTTTAAAGTTATCCACGGTGAAATATCTTGTCATAGGCGTCTTTGTGTTTCCATCTTCGTCACTTAACTTGTGCATTGCCTCGAAAAGTAAATCCTTGGGCGGAGGAATTGGCACAAGCCTTCCTTTAGGTGTTGGTGAGTACGTCTCTTGGTATTCTAATTCATCCCCGGTTCCCTCTCCCATTGAATCCCTGTTACTCTTTGCCCTCCTTTTCTTCTTCTTTTTAGCACTGCTTTCTTTACTTGTTGCTCTAAGCTCCTCTTGTGCTTCCTGTATCTTTCTATCTCTCTCCTCAACCAAGCTCTTCCATTTAGGCGATCCTTTCAATCTGTCAAACTCGTCGCACAGTTGTAGTTTCCGCCTCAGCTGCTTTACTCGGCTACTTTCGAGGCGTGTGAGAATTGATTGGATTTTTTTGATGGTGAGAGAAGAAATCTCGAATGACGGGTCAAGAAAAGAATATTCTTCGTCGAACTCTGATGTAGAAGCCATTTTAGCGGATAGGCGTAATGTATGAGGCGATAGAGTAGAATGGATTCGGGTAGCAAGCCAATGGACAAGATAAAGTTAAACTGTGAGAATAAGGTTTTTGTAGCACAGTGCCAATCAAGTTGCCGTCATCCAATGACGCTGGCTTTTTAGAGTATTTAACCAATGTATTGTATATGATATTGGGGCTCGATATATCGCACTTGTCAAATCTCTTTTACTCGCTCGCTGCAGCTTTTTCTTTTTTTTTTTTTTTCTGCTACAACTCTAAGCAAGCAATAAATCAGTGAATAATTGGCCGTCGGTAAAACTTTCGTTGTGCCAACCTAATTCACAACAAAAGCATTCGGCAAACGTTTGTGTTTGCTTGCTTTCCCCGCTGGTTAGAGTTTTGTTTATTTTTTCATTTGCAAAAAAAAACCCATCCACGTGATAACATTGTGACTGTGGTACGGTGAAACTATAGTTGGGCTAGCACGACTCTCGGATCTCCACGTGAATGACAAAGCAAAAAGCATGGGGGACTTTCTCAATTTTTAAACGGCATTTGAGCTGCATGTGCGGACGGGACAACAAACCAACAATGCTAATACCATTACTATATATATTTGTATGTATAAAAAAAACGCTCTGTACCACATTTATTCTATGTATATTTTTCCAAGACAAAGCAAACACTTTGAGTCTTCGAAAAAGAAAAGAAAAATAAACAAAGGGTGTTGGGTAAAAAAAAAATGAAATTCTCAAAAACTCACTTGAAATTCGGAAACTAAAGAAAAAAAACTGAAGGGAAAAACGAAAAAAGAAAACAAAACAAGAAAAAAGACGAAAGGTTTGTAAACTCGCCTTTTCTTCTCTCAAATGAATATTTAAATAAAATATAGTAAAAAAAATGCAATGAAAAAATTGTAATAAACAGTCATTGAAATAAATGAAACAAAATGTGCGATTTTAATGTATTATTCCAACCGCAAAAAATAAAAAACACTTTATCCAACATTATGTCATATTTAACATTTACACTCTTTCTAATACAGTTTCCCACATAGCACCACCTTCGCCAAACAGAGTCTGCTGCTTGGTTGGCTGAGCGACATATGCTCTTTCTCTTTCCAATTGGATTTCCTTATCTTCATTTCCACCTCCATTTATATTTCTTTCTAACCTTTTATCTCCTTCAATCATGCTAGCTCTATAAGATTTTCTTTGACTTCGTGTTAAACTTTTTCCGCTCTCTCGCCTAGCCAATTCCGGGTTCCATGATTTCCTGTTGGAATTTCTCAATGTTTCCTTTACTTCTCCTTTATCGGCATCTGGATTCGTTTCCCGTTGTTTGAGAGACGATAACAGCTTGGAGCGTCGTTGCTCGCGAGTGGTTGGAGAGCTTGGTAGGACGGATACGTCTGTGGATCGAGGAGATATGTTTACAATCCATGATTTGCGTGCTTCTCTTTTTTGTTCTATTCCATCAAGCCATTGTTTTCTCTGATCGCGTTGTTGTTCTAGACTGTCCAACCACTGTTTTGTTTTGCTGTTTCTATTGCTTTCTCTCTCGTTACCCCATTTCTTTACTGCGGTTTTCGGCAATCTAACACTGTTATGTCTTTCGACTTGAGTCTTACGATCCCAGGTAGGTACATCTACATCTTTTGAATTGTATGTAGCCCGATTATGAGATTGTGTTGGGAATAACAAATCACGGGCTGGAACCATGGTGACACCTTTTTCATTAACCGTACGAGGGTCGATTTTTCCATCTCTTGTGAGAGTTGAGTATGGTGAGATTGCTCTGCGTCTACGGCGGCTACGGTAAAAGCAGAGGGTCGTAATGAGAGAGAAAACGCTAATAATTATGCCGACAATAAAGAAAATAAAGGACTGTTTTGTCATGTTCAATGGATACGTATTGGTCTTTCCTGATGCTGTGTGGCCACCATTATTAGCATTATTACCGTTGGATTCTTGACAAGTTGAATAAGTAATTAAGAAACACGTGACAATTATTAGAATAGTTTTCATGTTGATAGAGTAATTTGCCATCTGTCAATACATCTGCAGTTGAAGAATGTCGTAAAAAAAAGGTGCTCTTGATATTTGGATTAAATCGTTTCCTTTTCGTTGTGCGTTTTGCTAATATTATATTATTATTTTTCCGATTAACTGTTATTTCAGGCGAACGATAATCACACTCTCTTATAGTAAACCCAGTATAAAAATCCGATTCAGCTAGTTGTATTCTAAACGCTGATGCTATACGTTCTGTGTTCTTGGGTTCTCAAATCGGTGAGCGGATGAGACTTAGACAAGAGCGAGGCCCTGCTGTTTGCACTATGAATACGGACTGTGAACAGGCAAAGGGTGGGGGTATGCGTTGAGCGGGATGGATCATTTATATATGAGGGACAAATTGACTGCATGTGTGGAATATGAATAAATAAGGTAAATTATAATTACGTGGGGATAGGCGGCATTTGGTTAGTGTAATATGAGTGTAATATTAAGTTGAAGGTTTGTACTGGAATTAATAATAATAATGACAAACAAAATATACAGCTGAAAATAGACGAAACGGGTGAACGTATGGTTGATTAAAATGGTAAATATACATGCAAGCACAAATATTGTATTAGCTAATCTGCAATGTACACACCATTTATTATTCGAGATTTTTGGTTGTTTAATATATTTAGTGCTCGTTCTATTTATATCTATTATTGTATTAGTGGCAATTTATCGTTGTTATTGCACTCTTGTTATTATTTTTCGGATTCGGCATTGAAGAACCAGGATGAGCTGCTGCTATAAAATCTACACTCGGTCATCGAACCAAATCCAGCCCATTTTTTATCCGGGACGAAAGTTTCATATAGAATATGTTTGGTTCAGTTGTATCTTATCTCGTATAACCGGATATCTTACTCAAACATGCAAGATAAATAATTAACTGCATGCAGATAGTATTGGTGTTTTCCTATGTGATGGTAATATCGACCAATAACTGTCAAAGTGATATAGGACATGTGTGATTTAAAGTACATTTGTTTGTTTGTTGGAAAGAACATGGTGATGAGCGACCATTTCTTGATAATGTCCCAGTGGAATAGGCTAATTTCTAATTAATGGCTTGTCAATCTTTTGCAAATTGTTTAATTCAAAGTCATGGCGAATTCGGGGGTAAAGGGATGAGTCCCCGCTGTGACGTCTGTCTTGCGTTATCCGTTCCTAAAACTTTCACATGAACTCAACATTATTAATAGTCATAATTATAACTATATAATGCCACAACCCGTGACTGCCGTAATTTTTATTCTTAGCAAAGACCATTACCACAAATTAATTAGCTTATCATAATAACACTAATCAATAACGCTTGGCTGTGCAACTGCTTTTCTCGGTGAAACAATCATGACTCGCAGGTTGATGTTTACAATTTGAGCATTCCAATGTGCATGCGCCACCTTTAGTTTGCAGGTTCAATTGCCAAAGCATAGTGCATCTAAGGTGAAGGGCTTTCCTGCAGCCGAACATGAATATGGGAAGCTATATATAGTTAACCAAGACCAAAAATGTTTATTGAGACGAGCATTTACAATTAGACGGTTTTTAATCAGTCAATTTTGTTAACTTGTTGTGTCATACTTTCTAGAATCACAAAACTCATAGCTGAATCATTTGTATGGTTACTGAATAATTTCAATGTTATTGAAATTGATGAGTCGTCATTTAACAAGCCATGATAATGAGTGTAGCCTGCCCTGCTTATGCACCAGTCACCAGACCAAACTAACTTCAGCCTTCATCGATTTTTAATTCGCTGCACAAAAATGAATGTTATTCTCACAAAAACCGTTTTCTATAAAAAGCCAAACCGATAATTACAAACCATGAAACAAAATTCTTGTGTTCTTGTACTCTTGATTGAATGCTATTTGAAAAAAAAAAAGATTTTTGGTCATTGGGCCCATATACGGCCTTTGTTATCGTCATTCTGTATAGAAGCTTTAGATTTCGTTTATCACATATCACCTACTTTTATGTCATAACATCGTCATTAAAGGAGAAAAAACAAATTGTCCGGACGTGTGCCGTGCTTTCGGGTTCGTTTTACAACTCCGATGGCTCATTCGTAGATAGCAATAGCGAAAACGTTTCCCCGTTTTGTAACGTCCAGTACCAATGAGAGAGTATCACAGAGTTTTCGAGAACACGCATGAGCGAACTATGCTTGAGAATACCTCTTTTTCTTTAACTCTAATTCCAAATCATATGAGCGCACAGCTCACAAGCTGTCTTGGATATAATAACAATGCTGCTATTTATAAATTAGCTATTTTTAACTGTTATTAAAAAGTATGATTACCCTTTCTAGTAGCGTACGCTTACACAATTTCTAATAAAGACGATAATGTATGGCTCGACTATTGTAATCTGTCAAAAAATGTTAACGACGTGAGCGGTGACCGGCAAAGATACGCTAGCTTTAGTACAATCGAACTCTTAAATACATAACTCTAAAATGTCGCTTATTTCTAAAAGGAATTTGAGAAGTCTTTGAGAAAATGAGGCTGAGGTTGTTTAATTACAGTAATTAATGTTAGATTGTATGTCAAAACCAAGGCAAAAACTCTTTCATTAATTTGACTATTGCGTTAGGGCTTTCCGAAAATTTATTACATGCCAAAGCGTTATCAACAAATTTCTTATTGAACCGATGTGGAAAGCATGTAATTAGTTGACCTTGCGATTTAGCTCGTTGCTCAGCCTTAACTCGGATAAGCCTTTTCTTCAGTAGGGTATTACAGTTCACGTCAAATGGGTGTAGTTGAACGATAAATCTAGTTACAAGTAATTACATAGACAAATTCTATTAGATTTTAATAGTGAGCAAATAGACGATATATAACAATCAGATTAGTTTGAATTTGAATCTTTAAATTAACCACTATTTTTGTTTGCTGTTTCGCATTGATTTGTAGTTCATTAAAGCTTTTGGTTAGACACACTCAATTCATATTAATATAGGTTATCAAGTTTGTAAGGCAATTGGCGCTGCGTGTTAAGTAATTTAACAGACTAACTGATCGAATTGCAACCGCTACTAGTGATTCAATTAATGCATGGAATGATGAGTCGTCTGAATTCTTTCTCTCACGAAACCAGTGTATACTTATTCCTACTTGGACTAAGATTCGTATTACTACTGGTTATGATTGAGTTGTTGGCGACAACTACCCAATTGTTTGCAAGTCAGTCAAGGAAACTGGCTGATCCACGTGATATACGATAAGCTGACAGTTTCCTTTGTTCGACGTATGGAGTATGTCTGCAAATTATCGTTATCATAGTGCCATCATGGAACGGACGGTAGGACCCCTGTGATAGTCCGTTTGAAGGTTTGACCAATCGCAGCCGACCCCCTCGACATGCAATTAAGTTTGTTAAATATACACCATCCATATAAAGGAGTAGCAACGGTAAATCAGTGATTCTTTTGCGCACATTCTCACTAACTTGCAAACGATAGCCAGTAATTACTTCCTCGGCAAAAAGCAAAGACATTTATACTTTATCAAATAGAAACAGAGAAATAACGGGAGCAAGTTCTTATTTATTTAAACTTCACAAGACAACACCCCATTTCTACAAATCCTCCAGGACTCAAAACCCCAAGTGAACTCATCCATGACTATAGACTCAGTCGCAAACGCAAGTAGTGAGTTAGGTAACGTATCTATACTTGTAGAGCAAAAACAGTGTCCACCTTCATGCTGTTTTTTTAATGGTGTCATTTTTTTGCCTTTGGAAGAACGAGCTGAGTGGCATATGAAATTAAGAGATGGAGGAAACGTTGTAGTTGGGTAGCGTAAAGTATTAAAGATTATTGGTGGTGACTTGTAGGTCATTGGATGTACGTTACCAGTACTGCATAGGCATGAATGTACGGCTAACGCTGTTTTCTTTTGTTTATTTATACGCACGATACATATGTCGTCCTTTATTACACGCGCTGCCTCCAATTACACTATGAACAATCATCGTAACCAATCCGATGCTGAAACCCATTAATTACATGACGATAACAATATTATCAATCTGCCAATCAAATATCCTTACTATAAAAACCTCATTTACAATCTTTAACTTGCACAATTATTTGAATATTATTTACGACTTATCAATCCTACACATTCCTTTGGCATCATACTTAAAAAACATATCGTTAATCTACACTATTTCTCCTTTTTGACATTTATCATTCACCATGAACGAAATATCCTGCTTACCATATCCCACAGAGGACCCAACAAAAGTGCACGCTCTGCGACAGCAAGTCGATACTCTCCGGGCAGACTTGGCTGAGAAGAATGCCCTGATAGCCTCAGTTCAAAAACATGTTAACCGACAGCATCCCGTTCCTCCTTCTATGGAATCTACGACTGGCCGCGTAATAGAACGGCTGCAACTTGAAATCGATTCGTTAAAAAAAGAACTGTCAGATTCTAAAAGTCAGTTGCAGGTTGCAAGAGTAGCCCGTGAGCGTGCAGAAAGGCAAGTACAAGAACACGCACAGTCACATCAGTCATTTCTATTGGAACTTGATTCGCTCAAGAGGATATTGGAAAGGAAAGAAAGACAGGTTAAAGAGTTAGAGCATTCAATAAAGGAAAGCGATCAAAAGAGTATGGATATGAAGTTCGATAGGGATAATGCAAATACAAAACTCAGACAGACTGAACTAAAAGTGTCAGATCTAGAACGTAAAATTCACGAAGCTCTTGCTGCAAAGGAACAGGCCGAGCATGAGTACTCCCTCTTAACAAAAGAAATGCAGTCTTTCAAACGGCGCTACCAAGAAGATGTGGATACCGTCAGGCACGAATTCGATGAGCTGCGTGATCAATTAAAATCAATCTCTCATTCGCTCGAAGATACTATTCTCATGACTGGCGTTCAAGTGGAAGAGTTAACAACGGGCAGAAAGAACGAGGTATTGGAATTAGAACAATTACAGGAGAAATTAAAAGAGAATCAAGAAAATTACGCAAAACAATTCTTGCTGGAAATTGAGAAAATGAAGACTGATGTTGAGAAAAATACACGGTCGACCGATGAATTTTACCAGGAAGTAATCAAGATGAGAAGTGAAATTACGGGCAAGTTGAATTGGTTTACAAAGGTCGAGAAGGCCAGGATAATTTAGGGTGAGACTTCGGGTATTGATAAGTTGGATTGGGAGGTATTGGGAGGTATTGGGCGGTATTGGGCGGTATTGGGAGATATTGGGAGGTGATGCGTGGGATGAGAGAGACTGGACTTTGTGTTGTACTCATTATAGTGTGATCTATAAATAATGTAAAATTAAATTTCTTTAATAATTACTTTTCTCCAAGAGAAGAGTCCTTCTGGCTGAGTATCGCTAGATTACGAAACGAAAAAAAAAAGCCATGAGACCGAAGATCATGGCTAGTCATATCTTTAGTATAGTGACAAATTGATTACGTCTATTGAATTAACGTTAATTCGATGAATAATATTAATAATGGAGCTTTTGTAATAAAAAAATCCAGATCCTTTTATAAAGACAAGTTTCTGGAGTGTATGCCGATGTCACATGATTAAATCGTTCGACGAATATGACTGGATTAACTACGCATGGAAGCATATCGTATTTAATTTACTTGTTAGAGGAAGAGTAAATAACCCTCGAATAACTCGTACAGAAACCGTGAATTCCAAAGAGTGTTCTAGATTGACGTACTGGAATATTTACTCTCCTTCTCGAGACGCGATAGGGTTTTACATCATTATGATAGATGGAATTCCACGCGTTGTCATCAGAATTGTCCCTTGTCTGCCTCTTCATAAGTTTCCGAATATCCAAGCTGGATCTGGACGCTTATCAGGATCAGCATCACAAGACTACTCGGCAGGTCTCTTGTATCCCTCCGGTGCCGAATCAGGCATCGATGGTCGTAGTCCATCCATAATATCGCATACTAAATCTCTATCGAACTGCCTATGGTTCACCAGTAGCAATCAAATACATATGATACCAAAAGAATTCACATCTGATTTCTCTGTAAGTATGAAAGACTTCCGGTGCAATAAATTCGCCCGAGTTCACTTGCTGAATTTGGAGGCATTATGCCGTGATCAGTTAGTAATACAGAGTTCGGCATCCTCTTACTTACACACTTGAGATTAGAACACTGCAGGTGCATTCTTTGTAGCGAAGTTTACTAGTATTATTCATTATCATTATTTTTTACAATTCGGGACTGCCCATATACTGTATATAGATATGTAGTGTATCTGGTAGGTAATAAAAAATTCCCCCAAGCGCGCACCAAATGTATGTTAGAGAACAATATTATCACAAAGTTAGACATTTTTGCCATTCTTGATAATCGTAATCGCGTGTTATTTTTGTGGTTTTTTGCAAATGTCACGAAACTGGCGAATATCGCATATAGTCCAAATCCCAAGAGATCCCGAACCTTTTCTTCCAGAATCTGTTTCGTTTTTACTTGATCACAGTATATCCCATGTCATTAAACGATAATGCCAAGCGCTTGCTTGCTCATTAATTAAGAGTTGTGAGCAGTCTGGCTGATAGTCAAATTTGTAAACTTCACTTTCAATCGATCCTTATAAAAAAGGTTTAACGAATTCAACGACGGGAGCCCAATAAGACTATTAGGCGATGAGCATTATTTTTTCGAATCATAATTTTTTAATAGATAAAATTAATATTGTGCGTCACGTATAAATGTTCTTACCTCTTTAGGCAATGGTAGATTATGTTTCCTCTTCTATGTCGGGAAATCTCTGTTTTACTTCCGCAAAGGCCTCAGGATGCAATGTTGATACCTTTGATTTCAACGTTCTGTAGAATCATATATTTAACAAATAGACCCCATTTGCAATGAGGGTTATAAATTGTACGCTACTTTGTTTTTCGTATTCTAACCCAAACAAACGATCAAGGAAAGCTTACATACCTTATTTTCTTGAAAATATATTCTAGATCTACTTTCATCTCCTTAAAACATTTGGTGTTGGCTTCAAATTTCTTTACAAGATCGTCATATTTCTGTTGCGATAACTCGTTAAGTGCATTCATGTCATTACTTGCTGATTTCAGTGATATGTATCTGATAGCAGTATATGAGATTCCATTGTTACTTGTATTACTAGTGGATTAAGTGCTCAAGATAACCCTACATGTTTTCTTGTCGTTTCTCAATCTCATCCAAATCATCGTGATTTGTTAAACTGTCCAGCTTTGCTACTATGAAGTTTTGCTGTGCTACGTTATTCGTAGAATCCATTATAAACTTGTAAGGAGCCGTGTTGTAATATTAACAAGATAGAATGTCAAATACTCGTTTTTTAGCCAATCAAATCAATGAGGACAAATTATGATGTCACGCAATAATAATAATATATACAGTATATTATAATGCGTTCGATTCCAAATAACGTTCATTCTAAAAACAATTGGTAACTTGCCCAGTTTCATTGTATGAATTGTTTTATTCGAAACATCCTTTTGAATAACCCCTACTCGAAAGGAATGAATTTGATCGTTCAATGACGCAGCTGGAATTCTCAATATGCGAACTGATTATTCGATTACGGTAAGACTCGTTTAAGTCGCTAAACCCTTCCAGTAGTCAACCGTTCCGATCACCGTTATAATCCGCATTTCGTCGATATCACTGTAATAATCGTGGGTGTCAATGTGCTGGGTTGTCCATCACTCAATTCTTTGAGATATTCCTCCAGCTATACAAGTTACCTGCATACCGTTCTATCCAACTAATAATGGGCATAACTAAATTGTTGGTGAAGATCTGGCCAGATTTGAAAATAGTGGGCGCAAAATGCGACCGTTTCGGTATTGTCACATCACAACAATCCCGTGCATGTTGACACAATACATTTTATGTGATAAAATCAAAAACAAATAGTGACAATTCTGAAACGGGTCAACGCCCGTAAACATTTATATTATGAACGAAACTCTTGACCGGTTTCGTTAACAAGCTTGCTTTATTATCCCACTTCCCCACACCTCTCGACTTTTTAAATCTGGTTATACCTTTCTTACTCGATCAATGGAAGCAACAGTGGACAGTTCGCTCGTAAACGGTGATTCTGATCCTCCATATCAATATGAACAACCACTACCGAGTAGCAAGATACCGATATTAGATGGCCAGCATACTCCTCAGAATATAGCTTTACATGGTTTTATAGTTGGGAGTTTGTTCGGCTTTGGTATTGGGATATCGTTATACTCTGAAAAACTGTTTCAACTGGGATTTTTTATATCCGCACTCGGACTATTTCATTTGCTTGAGTATCTGCTGACCGCAATGTTTAACGCTGATAAATTAAGCCTTGACAGTGAGTGAGAGGGTCAAGAGAAGACTTGAGTAGTCTAATATTATATGTAGCATATGGGTTTTTTTTTACAACAAGATCTGATTTTGTAGCTTTCTTGATTAACAATGGGAAGGCGTATCATATCGCATTTGCATCGGGTATGATCGAATATCTGATTGAGTTGTGGCTATTTCCCGGGATGAAGAAGTTTGGTTTTATTAATTTAATAGGTGAGGCTTGCATATTTCAGTTGAGAGCCAATTGATATTAGAACAAGTCTCTCTCTATTGATTGATGTATGTTCATTATAATGTTGATCTACTAGGCCTGTTCTGTCTAATAATGGGTCAGACAGCAAGAAGTCTTGCCATGTGGCATGCAAAATCCAATTTTTCTCATCAACTCGTATATTACAAACAGCCCGATCACGAACTAGTAACAACGGGTGTTTATGCGTAAGTGCATATTATGAAAGCGAAAATTAGAATTTCATTATTGATTTATCATGATTGAGGCAAAAGTTAATCTCTCCATCTTTCTACTTGTTGTTCAAATCTTAGTTATCTCCGTCACCCGTCGTACTTTGGTTTTTATTATTGGGCCATTGGCACCCAAATTATGTTATTTAATCCGATCTGTCTAACAGCGTTTGCGCGTACATTGCATTACTTTTTTAGCGAGAGACTCAAGGAAGAGGAACCAACTTTGATTAGATTCTTTGGTGATGAGTATAGAGAATATAGGAAACGAACCAAGACATGGATTCTTTCTTATGATCTGTTGGTTGATAAACAGAGGATAAGAGAAGATGACCTACGAAATAACAATCGCGATTGAGTTTTGTTGGGGTTTATACTGTAAATATCACTGTTTCGTTATCAAAATAGTTTAAATTATTGCTAGATGCAATTTCTTAATTCTTAATTCTTTGATACGATAATTAATCATATTTGGTGCGCCTATATGAATCGGCTTGCAAACCCCCCAATTAGATAATTATAATTGGACAAGTCAATACTAACCTATAGATAATAAATCAATTTGAAAATAATCGGTTGAACCATGCATCTTCATGGAGTAAAGGTGTTCTTGCATTAGAAAGGGACAGAATTTTTACATCCTGACCTCTTGCATTATTATAGACATTTATTATAATTTAGTTTGGTATTTCACTTTTTGCAAGCCACTACTAATTTTGCCCACCACCAAAAAGAAAAAATGTATCCTCTCAACCTTCATTCCAAGCAATGACACCCATCATGCCAATCCCCACCAACATTGCTACAAACTCTGTTATAGCTTGTTTGACATCCTTCCCTAATTTCCCTGATACTTCCAACAACTCGGGAATCACACCTACTGTAGCAATATATATAAAACCACCTGCAGTAAATGGTATCACTAAATCACTCAAATAAACGTTGGTACCCCATATACCATCACCCACATCACCAACATCAAATACTTTTTCTCCCGCCGGCTGATCTCCTCTGCTATACTCTTCAATAGCAATACCAGCAAAGGTACCCAGGAATGCTCCTACGGCAGTGCCAAATTGTGATAACAAAGCATATCGTTTAGTGAATCCAGATTGAACGAGTATAGCATAATCGCCAATCTCATGAGGTATCTCGTGGAAAAATACAGCGACAGTTGTAGTCGCACCGACGCTCGGAGATGCGTAGAACGAAGCAGCCATTGCAAGACCATCAGTAAAGTTATGAGTTGCATCAGCTATAAGATTCAAGTATGCTGAAAGACGAATGCTTGTCGAGGGTTGTTTGGAAGAAGATTTTGATGATGATGACGATAATGAGGATGATGAGGATAGACTGGTATTTGATGTCAAGGATGATGTCGATGGTGATGATGACGACAGTGATGAAGTAGAGGCATGAATGTTATCAGACGATTGGCTTGGATTACGCCTTTTAGCATCATTAGATATCCTATTTATAGCAGTACTCTCTCCGGTTTCCTTGACAGTTCCACGCTTGACGGTACTTTGATGCTCATGGGCATGTCCATGCGAATGTCCATGTCCATGCTCATGGTGTCCATCTCCGCTTAAGATTCTCATACTCTTGTCAATAACAAAAAAACACACCAAACCCACAAATAACCCCAACCCAATAACCACATTCCTTTTCTCGTCTATCATAACAAAATGCACTTCTTCATCACTAGCTTCTCCCATGAAACTCTGTGGTAACAAATGCAAAAACACATCTCCCAACAACCCACCAACTGCAAAACTCACCAACGTGTTTAATGACGACGGCTGAATATCAGGAGGAACGAAAAAAAGAATAAAATTAGGTATCGATGAAATGTAAAAAGTGGCAAGCAACGAGTTAACTTTTGGCGAACCAGGAAAAAGATAAGAAAATATCGTTTTTTGTAGTGGAGAGGAATGAGAGACGCGAGCACGTTTTTCCGCTGAGAGAAGAGAGATGTATGGACAGAGTTTCATATGGACTGGTGATTGCGATGATCTGGAAATGTGAACTTCGGTTGGTTCTGCTGAAGGCGTTCCGCTCGCAAATTCTGCAGTTGTTGGGTTTCCTTCGATACTTGACCAGCGTTCCAACAGATATGGACATTTTTCCATTGTACTCTCCTCCACAGGGACATGTTTACCCTCTTGTATTAATTTAACGACATAAGAACACTTTTTTATATACTTTGTGTTAATTGAAACAAAAGATGTCTCTAGAGTGTATTCTGTTTTTGCCAATGGTAGTAAACGAAATAGTGTCGCCACCAATACGAAAGATAAAAGCAGTCGGCGTGAAAGTAATCTTGCTCGTGGATACATTCTCAGTAAAGACATTTATTACAAGTATGCTATAAGAAAAGGAAAGAGTTAGATATTTTGTCAATCGAATGCAAAATATTGTCACTGACGGGTGCGCAATATAAGGCATTTACTTTACTCTTTGGCTCGTTCGTTATCAACCTCATTACCTGTATTTTTGCTTTGTAGCGAGTTGATACCAAAGATGGGTGATACGGCTTATAGTTCATTGTAATAACGGTTGGTATGGTCTGTCTATATATGGTAAAATCGTGTAGGAAACGCCAACATAAACATCTTGCTTTACTTTACATAATGCGTGTAACAAATATGATGTTACCAATAGTTCATTTTGTTTACAAGTCGAAAATTTGCTAAATGACTTTTGACGTGACAAATGACGAGTTTTTAGTAGAGATGGGAGAAATATAAAGTAATTCGTATGTTGACCGTTTGACCACGTGGCACATAGATTTTATATCAACTTTTGGGAAATGGTTAATGTTTTTCTTAAATATTTGTGCAAAGGTTGTAATTTTTTAATTCTTGTCCGGGAATTTTCCGTAGTAATAAGGGGTGCATTCCGCAGAAAACATGCAGATGACGGTTGAAGCGAAAGAAATGACGGGCAAAAACGTCTTTGCATAGTATAAGTAGTAACAGTAAGCATTCTATTGACTCTACAAGACTATATGATTACATGCTATCATGGCAACAGGAAGGGCCTCTTTTTTAACGAAACTGGGTTGTTATCGACAGTAACGTTTACGCTGTAATGGAAACACCCGGCTGCTGGTAATAAGATCTATTACTATACATTACATGGAATGTTAGTGATCTGAAGGGTGAATGAAACCTTTGCAAACTACTCAAACTAGCAAATACAAATACTTTGCGGACAAAAGAAACGAGTTTGCAGCATTAGCATTAAAGTTATAAGTAATTCTTTTTAAATAAAAGAGACTTGATCATTTTTGCCTTTAAAATTACATTTAGTGTATTTTATTTAATGCTCTAATTGTTAGATTTGTAAGCCGAATTGAATACAAGACGTAATGATGAACTGTGGAAGAAAAAGACCTAAATTTGTTGCTAGTGTATGAATGTTCCGCCAAGCAGTCGTAATCAATGTTCATTTATTGACATAATAACCTACAGTGAAAGTGTTTGAATGACATAACAGGGAAGAAGACTTGAAACATAAAAAAATTAAAAAAAAAAAAAAAGATGCCGCATACACCTCGACAAAGCCACCGCCACACCAGTTTGTAGCCATTACCAGACCACGTATCAAGCAAGTATTAGATAATTAGACACATTCAATTAACGCGGTGAGCAGCAGAGGGTATGAGGGAATCACTCCCACGAACTTTCTACAATATCCCGTATCCTTCGTGTGTATTCCTTTCTGTTCTCTCGATAGAGATTGGCAGCTTCCGCATTTGCCGGTGAATTTGGATTGGGATCATGCAATAAACTCTGAATACTTGTCAAAATAGCCGCAACATCATATGTCGGCGACCATCTATTCTGCAAAATGTCCAAGCACAGTTCGCCACTTGCATAGACATTCGGATGAAACATTTTAGAGATGAATCTCACTGTCGGAGGCTTATTAGGATAGCTTTCATCAAACTGAAGCGCCAGTTTGAACGTACCATCTTCAAACGGTGTCTCGGCTATATGTAATAGTAGTAAATCAAAAACATAGATTAATCAGATTATTCTCTCCATACTTTTGAAATATAACAGCTTGTCACAGTTACCCGGTTTACCCTAAAAAAAAAAAACAATGACTAGCGCACACGTAATAAGCTGTTCTGCGGTCACTATGGAACCTTGAATACTGTTTAAAAGTATTCGACCAAAATTACTCTGTGGGCAATGAGTATGTATACATACCAGGACCGAAGATGACTGCGTTCCAAAGCAAGATGTTGTCGGGGCAAGGTGCTCCCGAAATGCCAGCTGGAGGGTCATTCTGTAGCCTTTTAAAGTCACGCATAAGTCTGCGACGAGCTTCAGTCGACATGTTGCTTTATCTTTTCGTGTATAGTGATAGAGAGTGAAAAAACGTTATATGTGACAAGAGTGTAAAGTTTTTGTAGATCTAGAAAACCATGTAAACGCCATAATATTGTTGTCGGCGTGTTACGCAAAATCGACGGTCACATGTATGGAGGCAATATACAATCCTGATGTTTCCAGGCAAATAATTTTTTTCTGTAAACTCGGAACGACTGCCCAAACTCAAGACCAAACTCTTCAGATTATGAATTCCACACTCTCAAGGTACAATTCTTGGCAAGATTAGTCGGCTGCTTTGGCGATCGGCGTTGTTAGGAGTGGGTACTCTGCGTTTGAAAGTTATGGGAGACGAGGATGCTTTGATTACTTACCTCAACTCACTGTTACAGTGTTTTACCAAAACCTCGACATACTCAGCTGAGCTCTGAACAGCACAATGAGTATGAACGCGGTTTCGACGAATTGACTGCAACGAAACGCACAAAAGGTCCTCCACCATATGGCCATCGAGCCGATTGGAAGCCAAGAAATGTCGAAGATTTTGGTGATGGTGGTGCTTTTCCAGAGATCCACATGGCACAATACCCTCTCGACATGGGTCGAAAGAAGACAGTGCGTTGCTCGTTTATTCTATCCGTCAAATTGCTTTGTTCTTGGTAATAAAAGTTTGAAATCTTAAATATCATTATCTGACTGTAAAATAGGGCACAAGCGGAGGATCTCTTACTTTACAGGTGGATGCAGAAGGCAGCATTCGTTATGATGCTATTGCTCGTCAAGGCCATTCCGAGAATCGCATAATTCACTCACAATTCAAAGATTTAGTTCCACTAAATCAAAGGGTCGACATTGAAAAAATCGAACTGAATAGACCTACCGACGATTTGGTTAAGGAAACAACTGACAAAACAAGAGAAGCTTTGGAAAAGATTGTACAAGGTTTTTTTGTTGTTTTTTTTTTTTTTTGTTACTTTCTCTCTCAAACTTTCTAATATGAAGTAATTAACACATATTTTTTTTCTTAGGAAAAATAAAAGCAGCACAACCTAAAAATGTCAAAACAAACAAACCTGCTACCGAACCGACTTATATAAGATATACGCCCGCACAACAAGGGGAATCATTTAATTCTGGCGCCAGTCAACGTATTATAAGAATGGTAGAAATGCCAACAGATCCTATGGAACCGCCAAAGTTTAAACACAAGAAAGTGCCTCGCGGTAAGTTTACGGGTTTTGTTTCAACTGATCGATGTATCTATAGACTGAGGAAACACTTTTAATACACACAATAGGGCCTCCTTCACCTCCGGCACCCGTTCTACATTCACCACCGCGTAAAACTTCTGCAAAGGAGCAACAAGAATGGGTCATTCCTCCTTGCATATCGAATTGGAAAAATGCCAAAGGTTATACAATTCCACTTGATAAACGTTTAGCAGCAGACGGACGCGGATTGCAAGAGGTACGCGCATTATTGTCCATAGTGTACTCGATTTATGATTCCTGACTAAGACAATCTAAACTGTGTATCGATGCACAATAGGTTACAATAAACGATAATTTTGCAAAATTGTCTGAAGCGCTCTTCGCTGCCGACAGACATGCTCGTGAAGAAGTACGTCAGCGCAGTTTAATGAGAGAAAAACTTGCACAAAAAGAAAAGGAAGAGAAAGAGAAACGATTACGCATGTTGGCACAGAAGGCTCGCGATGAAAGGTAAAGACAGCTATACGATAAGTTGAATAATAATGGTCTCGATAGTAATTGATTGAAATTTTCTAGGGCAGGGCTATCAACGTCTGCTGCCGCACAATCTTCTGAAGCTGGAGAACGGTCAGAGACTGACGAGGAATCTGACGAAGAAAAGATCAAGCATCGAGACGAAATACGACAGGATCGACGGAGAGAAAGAGAGAGAGAATACAGATTGTCTCGTATGGGCGCAGAACAGAAAGCGAAATATCTAGCCCGGTAAGTGTTCCGAGTGTTTCTTGTTGAATAATGCGAGCATAAAGAGCCTATAATGTCAATTTACGCTTTTTTCATTTAGTGAGGAAGGCCGTGATATTTCAGAAAAAGTCGCGCTAGGGCTTGCCAAGCCCACAATCAGCAAAGACAGTCTACTTGATCCACGATTGTTTAGTCAGTCTGGTGGTCTCTCATCTGGTTTCAAGGATGATGAAGGTATATACCGGCAATATATGCATATCTGGCTGGCTCCTATCGCATCCATCTTGTCACATTAATTTTTTATCTATTTTTTTTCAGCATATGATCTCTATGACAAACCATTGTTTGCGGGATCTAGCGCTAACATGATATATAATCCAAAGAAAAGCTATGATCCAGATCTTTTTGAGGGTGATGAAAATATCAAACAACTCTTGGCCAAAACTGGGCAATCCGCAGAAGCCGGTCAGGTATGAAGCTTGACAACTGTCTCTTGAGGCGGCGTACCATCATCCAACAGACCGTTTACAAATTATCTTTTTTTTTTCTTGCATCTTAAGATTCGAACTGGTCCTATTGAGTTTGAGAGAGAGGAAGCAGATCCATTTGATATCAACCGTTTCTTGGATGCTGCGAAAAAGGGTGTGAAACGTGGACTAGAAGCTGTGTAAGTTTTGATGATGTCATTAGTTGTCTGATTTTACAATACATTGATTCTCCTCCCTTCTCGATTCTAGATCGGAAAGCAGCAAGACCAAACGCCAGAAGGATTAAAAGGCAGTTGAATGGTACAAAAAAGCAGCTGAACAAGGAAATGCCAAACACAATTTAATCTTGCTGTATGTTATAAATATGGAATTGGAGTAAAAAAGAAGCAGTTGAATGGTACAAAAAAGCAGCTGAACAAGGACATGCCAGTACACAACTTAACCTTGCTTTACGCAAACTTACAACAATAAGCAAAAAAACGATGTGCAAGATATATTCAGAAATATCCCACCAAGTTGGGATACCGAGTGTAATTTTAGTAATATTGATGATGATGGCGGACTACATGACAATAAAATACAAGCTGTAATCGAGTAACCGTAATAAAACGCATCAACAAATAATGAATTGAATAAAGTGTCGACATTTAAAGTTTAAGTGTGAAGCAACAACATTATCAATACATGTTTGACGTGCCAAATTTATCTTTCAAAACTTTTATTACAAAGACCAAATTGAAAGGTTTCTACAAATCGTTAACGCAATAGCTAGTCGATAAAATATATGTAATCTTAAGAGGAAGAAAACATGCCATAATAGAAAAGCTATTATATAATTAAAAATAATCCACTCATTATGCCGGGGTAGTAATTCAGGCCGGGCTTTATTATAATATCTATTTGAAATTTGAATACGATGTTTGAACGCTGAAATGTCTTAATATTAAACACTTTATCTGATTAACGCACTATTCGTGCTTTTACTTACGGCATTAGAATGATGATACGTTTCAGAAGAACGTTTTGAATATTAATCATACAAAGGCTATCAATGGTCAATGGCATGACCAAAGGAAAATATTAAAAGAATTGATAGCCAAAGACTTACTGTTAATGAATTAATAGAGAGAGTGCGGGATATGTATTGGAGAGTGGATTAGAAAGATCTTTTATTATTATCACATGATATCAAATTGGCGACGCTTCTAAAGATTGTCGGTGGGTGAAGCCATCTCCTGTCTCGCTTCTTTATTGTCATTCTCGGTCATCCTGATATTCGTAAGTTTAGGGAACTACAGAGTAAATCTCTCTTTTCTGAAGCGGATGATGATGGAGAGAATGGGTAAGAAGATGGGTATGTAGAGGCGTAGCTTTGCAGTTATGGAGTTCTATCATAATTATCATTGTGTACGTCTAACTCTCTACTTTTTTGTTTGCATTAAATATATCATGACAGTCAAAGATGACCATAACAGGCATTATTATTACGAATTGCGTTTGCTTACTCTTTACTTAGTATTCAATCGCGGATGTGTATAATATGAATTTTGATATTTAAACAATTTATTATTTTTTTAATCTACAGTACTTCAAATGAAAATATTATTAAACATAATTAAACAAAAGTAACGACTAGGTATTTTTATTTGCTCCGCCTACTCCCGGAAAAAGTGCGACTCGGGATAATCTGCCGATTGTAAATTGAGGTCATATTAATATTGAGACGTTGATAAAGAAAAGGTTTATTATTATCATTATTAAAATTTGTGCACTCACCATAGTAATTATCGCGGAGATAATTATCTACGTCATGATTTAATGACGGAGGGGCTGCTTCATCATTAGAAGCAGCGGTGGCGGCGGCGGCGGCGGCGACGGTGGATGTCGTATCTGTAAACAAAAGGTATTCAGCGTCAGAACTCTACTTTGTACGTTTGATTGCAGTTTAATTTGTGACTATCGATATTGTATTCTAATTATATTTGTAATGATGTATTATAATGTTCTTACCCTGCCGCGCGTCCGGTTTTCTTTTTATGATTTCAACCAGACGCCGCATTTTGACCAGTATCTCTTCGATACGGTCGATTGTTGCGGAAAGCTGCCGCTTGTAGTCCTTTTGCGGACCACGTTTCTTTGTTGGCAGCTGGAAGTCGCACTGCTGGCTGTATTTGATGCAGCCAGCGCACGGAGAAACGCCCGTGCATCGTATACGTCGGACTTGGCATCCGACACATGCCGTGGTCACCTTCTGCCGCGAAGTCATTGAGAGATAAATGGAGAAGTTGGTTTTTGGGGGTTTGAGATGAAGGAAAAGTCTTATTTGGCGATCGCTTAACTTACCACCTTTCCTCGCTTAGGACTCTTTATATACTATTTTTTTGATTACTTTATTTGATTACCACTCAAACCCCATTGCGGTTTTGTATACGACAAGACAAAAAGAATATTGACGTGGAAGGTTACATAATTCTTTGTTACGTTCTATGCCATTTCAACTTCTTTTTTTTGACTCATACACAAAGTATATAGTACAGGTTTTTCGGTTCATTTGCAATTGGTATATGCATTCAATTGGTGCAAATTATGGGTCGGTTCAGCTCATCAGTATCCAAATACCCAAACTGAATGGCCCATAAAAATCAAGTTACACGTTTGTGTTTGTTAATTAACCAGTCATCATATGCGTATAACAAATACACTAGTGTTTATAAACAAACAACGGAAGCAAGCAAGCAAGAAAGAAACATTGACAACAGTATTAATTTACATCAATATTTAATTTAAACTTTGACCGAACCCGAATTTCAGTGACGCGATAATTCTCTTTACGAATATGTTTTTCCAACTCTTCTTTAATGCTAAGTATTGTCTCGGACTGAATTGCTTCTCGGTAGATACGAGGTTGCACTGCGGTGAATGAATGCATTTTTGTGAGCAGCTACTGAAAGTAAAAATATAATGGGTGCGAGTCATCAATGAGTGAAGAAAAGACTATTTTTGTATTCTTCCATTTGTATAAATAAATGGACAAAGTGCGTCATTGCGATTCCATAAAAGTTACCGACCTTAAGTATAGAATTACCAAAGACAGTGCTTTGTTCAAAAGATTACTTGCATACGTGCAACGCATTGATGTATAAAAAAGGTTAACACGGCTTAATTACTGCGCCTGTAAGAATAATATTAACGAGTTACGAAAACTTAACAATTTTTCTTCTTATCGATTCCCCATTGAAGTTATACCGTATCAATTACTATTAAATGGAATAAGCCATTTAACTCTCACGGCGTCAGATAGTTTGAAAAGATCAATGGACATCAAACAGCTAGCGAATATCGACATCAATGTCAACATCCGAATTTGATGATATAATTAATACGATGACACAAGTTTCTCAATCTGATTTAAAGTTCAAGCATTCCCGCAATTCGTACTCCCGTCCCAATGTCCGTGCGACAATCATTTTGTGTTCTAGTCTTAGTATTGTAATATTGGCGTTTTTCTCACAGATAACGCATCTCCTTGTATTTCTTTGATGTTTCCAATTTGTGTATCAATGCATTTTTCGATTGGGACGTGTACTGCCCCACGGTTAGGGGGGTTTGAGTCTTCTGAATGTACTCAATGGCAAATTAATCATGCCAATGAGTTGGCCGTATACGTGTATCTATTACCTTGCTTTTGCCCAGAGACTTTTGTCGAAAATATCCGATTTAGACATTCACCATTCTTAGAACAAACAAATATGCTTCTAATTATTGTTAGCTCTGGATTATTCAAAACCAGAAGTTTATTGACTACTAAGGATTAAGACAAAATAATATAATGATCGTAAAGCAACACATAACACATCAGATAAGCTAAGCAGTGTTTCCGGAATGCTGTTGAAATTACTTGTTCAATCTGGATAAAAATCGTAGCCTTGCTTTACGAAAAGATGTACAATTCGTTTTTGCAAAACTTACTCTCCTATCGCCAACTTTTACTCTTCCTCCTACCCAAAATTTAAAAGTGTCCCTTCTCGCATAATAACGTGGACAGAAGCAGGACTGTCTTGTCGACATTTTCTTGCTCAATCCCATCGGAAGAGAATAGTGTGGTTCACTTGATAATGATAACTTGTTTAGGATTAATGCCTACCGATAGACATTAGGTCGTGAATAGAAAGCCTGACGCGCTCGGATTTGGCTAAATTTCCAGAAATATATGTACGAGTTTCAAGAAAGATAGCAAAGCTATGAGTTGGGTTTATCGTGAGCGATTTTTTCTGCAGTGGTAAACATTGGCTTCATGGATGTCCGGCCAATTTACGACAATACTACTCTTGAGATTATCGAGACAAATGAAGCATACCGTTCAATGAGAATATAACAGTTTGTGCCGTAAGAAAAACGTTACCATCCAACTCTGGCAAGTAGTGGACGATTGCCTGAGAACAGGAACAAATGCTTGAATGAATCTATTACTTACCAGGTGGTTGGCACCATAATAGCAAACACGTCTATTACATCGTTCATTTGGGTCGTATCCACCCGTCAAATATAGAGATTTTCACTGCCATAGACACTAATGTAACATTCTTCAAATAGCAACGGGAGCAGAACTAGCAAATGGTGAAGATATTGGCGGCGAATTAGAAAAACGTACCAAGACAATTTATTGATTATAATTTTATTCCTAAATGAAAGATGAAGAAGCGGGTTATGCGGGTGCATATTATCCGGATATGGAGACTGGCGATTGTTTCCATAATATTGACTGCTTCATCGGATGAGTAGTCCTGCTCTTTATTCACGTATTAATAATGATAATACTAATCACAAAATCACAACCACGTGACACAAACCGTCAACGCTCGTAAACGTATTCCTTGCTTTAAATACTTTATTAAGTCCCACTAGGTTCAGCATATTTCTGACAAACTAAAATCTAACCATGTGGCAAAAAAAATTATTTGGGTTTTTTTAAATAGGCTAATTAGAATATGGATTTTCAGATCCTAAATCGCCATGTGGCTTTGGCAGTTGATAAAATAATTATTAGGGAAATAATCAAAGTGCTCGGAATCGGATAAGTATAACGATAACTTAATATTATCCAAAACGTTATACTAAGGACTAATGGTAATAACGACAATAAAAATAGCAGTTGTAGTGATACCAAACAATTAAGAACAGTA